TCCTATAAGTTCTAAGTAGATGCTTATATATGTCTGCTTTCTAGCTACAAAAAGATTTGACAGGTATTTGCAGAGTTAAGACAACCAATCAAATACACAGATTTGTTTCAGAAGAGACCAACTGTAAAAGCCTGGCCTAGCACAGACAGCAGAGCTGCTCTTCTCTTCCCTAGGCAGCTCTGTGCATCTCTGGTCAAGATTTTGGGCTGTGTACTTCATTCCTGTGGGACTCTGCATCCCTACAGTAAGGATAACAGCTGATGAACATCGCTCCTTGCTGCCTGTATTTACAGTTCTCTCCATGGAGGTTGCAGAAGGTGCAGGACTCACCCCTCTGACTGTGGTCTTTTTCTCTTTGGCATCACTAAATTTACAGACCAGGCCTTCCTGCTGCCTTTCAAAGAAATAAGGTGCTGGGTTTGTGGCCATGTAGCTCTTAGGACTTTTTAGGGAGTCCTAAGCTTTGCATATTAACGTGTTCCTGCCTGCCCAGCTGTCCTCGGGCACATTTGGAACAACAGCTCAGTTAAGGTTATGATTTTAGATAACAGCATCCTGTATGACCACATATGACACTGTGACAATAAAACTGACAGAAAAGATAACCACCTCTCTCTGCTTTTCACCAGCTTTAAGACAGCTTCATAAGCTATTACATGACAACCTACATGGGAAGTGCTCTTTCATTACAGGAGCACTGTTAAAAGCAAATCACAATACAGCAGCTTACCAACCTACTGCTTGTCATTTAAACTACACATGCTCATTCCAGCCCAGCTATGAAAACAGAAGTTATCCCCTTACACAAGGCAGTAAAAGAGAGGCCAGCAATTCATAAAGTTGCAGTGACTTTTCACTCTCTGCCCATACTCAGATTTTTGCTGTATAATTGAGGACACCAGAAAACTGGGAAGAAAACAGTTCTCACCACAGGCCTCCAGGCAGCTTGCTTAAGCAGTCAAAAAGCCCTCAGCACAATACTTTAAGTAATCAAGCTTATTTTTGTACGTAGTGTTTCCATCTGTCTCAGAAATGCCAACTAACCATGCTTCCCCATGGGCAAACATTTTCCCATTGCTGAAAATTCATTCAGAATGATACATCAAAGCATTAAAGACACTTACCCACTTTCAAACAACGCCAGCATCTTTTCAGGTGCTTGTTTCCAGGTCCTGATTGGCTCTATACCCAGCATCAGCACAGCAGTGTGACCTTCAGCAGGTCTGTCCCCTCCTGCATTTGGTGATACCTTGTGCTGTAAGTGTGGATGCAAAATCTGGTTTGGGGGTTATTAAAGACCTGCACGATTCTCTGTCAAGGATCTTTGTTCTGGAAGGTGAATTACTTTGCCCCAGGTCCTGCTAACTGGAGGACAGTGAGAAAAGATAACTTGACAGATGTAAGGCTTGTTAGTTTGGTGGATACTTCTTAGCGAACAAATTGGCTCTTAGAACTTTTACCTTACCTTTTACTTTTACCTATCGGTTCTCAATGCAGGACACTGTGTACAAGATCAATCCACACACAAACTGGAAATTGCTGATAGCATTTACAACTGAAAAGAAATCAGGGCTCCCCTAAAACATGGATGAGAACTGCAGTGTTCCATCTCCGTTCACAGATATGAATTCTGCCAGACGTGTGGGAAAGCCAACATCAGATCATTTTAAAGGCAAAATGTTTACACTATTTTGAGAAAAATTAAAACTCTAAAACTGTAAGAGCTCTGACAGTAATTTAACAATTAAACTAAATAGAGTTGGAATGGGCTGAGTTTAATACTTTGTTCCACAATCTTCCCACATACTCCTGGATGGGCCACTTTACATAGGATGCATCATCTCTAAACTGAATGTTTAAAAGCTCAAATTTGAGCTAGTCATCCATAATTATCTTTATAGTCCATGGAAAAAAAATGGCTATATCCAGAGAGCAAGTCATCCTACAAGAATCTGGGGGTGGTCAGATGCATTTGCCTCTGGAGGTACCAGGGGTGAGTAATTCACATTTCTGTATTTAGAAATTCAGTGCACAAGTTAAGAAAGACAAATTCAGCCAACCTTTGGATGCCACCATTTCCCTTTTGCAAACAAATGCCACATTTCTTCCATACCTCCCAGCAGCAATCTGTACAAAGCCTGGGAGATACACTGAACCAATACAAAATGCCAGAATGCTAATGAAGCCCAGGCTCAAAACTACAAAGTGCACTGTTAACCCACATTACACTTCTGATACTGATTACTATCTGCTTCTGCTGGTACACAATTATTCTACTCCTTGTTATCCCAACACTTACTGGATAACAGCAGGACTGGACACTGAGAGGCACAGTGGGAGGAAGCAATATTAACAGCTTGCCAAAACGACCTTGCATTTCAATCCACATTCACAAAACTTCCATTAAACAACCATACTAAGTTTGTATTCACAAGTTTCACCTGATACAGCAATGCCACCCTAAAGTTTTTATCAAACGAGGTCAGTAGCTCAGTGGAGCTGGAAACACAAGGTAAACAGAAGATGCCAAGTGCCAGCACACACCAGCTGTCCAGCTCACAGGTTACTGCACTGCTGTACAAGCAACAACCAGACTCCAAGGGGCACCTATGCAAACTGAACATGTAAGCATAGTACTTCTCTGGGTTATTAAAGACAAGAGCAGAAGACAGTGTTAATGTTTAACCACTCTGCTGGTGGCAAAATATTAATTCCCACTGCTGCACTTGGATGTACTTTGCTACCACTGAATGACCAGTGTAAGCACTATAGCTGCTATTTGATTTACAGCACATCTAACCTACCCACATAATAATGACTCAACTAAGTTACAGATGGAACTAAGCTGATTAGTGCCCAGCAACTACAGTATTAAAACACATCTCTGTTTGAGGCAGTCTCCATCAGCTTCCCCCTGCAGCTCTGTCTGCTCTGTAACAAGTTTCCGTGTTGAAGGTTGCAGGGGAAAAGTCTGAACATCAGACTGCCACCATGCAATGCACTGTGAATAGTACTCAGCCAGAAGGGTCCTGATGTCAGGCACCAGCTGCCAAATTCAGGCCACGCCGGACCAGGTACCAAAGCTGAGTCTAATTCTACTTTGTTCTACTGTCTATGGTTCAGTTTTGCCATATGAAAAGCAAGCAACAAGGTTTCTGAACTTATCTAACCACTGAAAAATGAAGAACAGCCGTTAAAAAGAGGCAGACTGCTGTTCAGTTAGTTTGCTTTGAAAAAGGAACACTCAAAGTAACCCAGAGGAGAGATCATTAGGTTATGAGAACATCTCACTGAGGTATAAATAGAGATTTTCCCCATGATCTGAATAAAATGAAGCAGTTGTTAAAATAAAGGTTAGTGTGTTTAAATGGCCTGAGGCAGTTTGTGTAGGACTCAGTCCTTATAAGCAATGATTACATGGTATTCTCTCAGTGGAAATAAATACCTATCCCATAGCTTTTAAGAAACAATAAAGGCTCTTACATAACACTCTTGAGGAACTCACTGTGATGAAAACAGGCTGTAATTCCATTTTTTAATTACAAGAGATAATGGTCGGGATGCATCAGAACGAAAATCCTTTCAGTTTCAGGCCCTGCAGGACAAACAGCTGGAAAACAGATACTGTCAGCACACTGCTTTCTCTCGGCCTTTTACTCCTGCTCCTGTGCACAAATCTGCAGGAACTGAACACCTGGAAGAGTGTTTAGTTCCCAGTGCAAGGGGACAAAGGAGCAAACACATGGAAAACAGCCTAGTTTAAATATACCCTCATCCATGCCTAGCATGCATAAAGAAAAACTAACTTGAACCTCATTCTGCCCTTTGAGCATACTGCTAAGAGATTATGGGTTACTTATAAAACCAACTGCTCTTTACTTGCAGAAGCTGAAGGGTTATGTTTCAACCAGAGTGGTATCAACATATCAGACAGGTGGAAGCTGAACAGGGTGTACTTTGCTCTTGAAATTGGTGTACTATTCCATTCAGAATGTAGTCTTTAACGTAAGAAACCCACACAGTGATGGTGCTCTTTCCCCAAAGATCACAGGCTTCAAAAGCAGAGAACAGTCTTCAGTCAAGCAGCCACGCATGTGAAGGTCGCTCATGTGGACAAGCAGCTTAGCAAAGACAGTTATGGAAGAAAGGAGATGGTGATGATCTGAAGAGTCAGACTCCTGAAACTCAGCAGCAACAACCTCAGAGACACACTGACCTCGTGCAATTAGATGTATGTTTTTTAGTTTTGTTAAACCTCATACTTTCAGTGCCTTATGTCCAGAGACAAATTCAAATGGTTGCTTGCAAGAGGACTCACAGAAATTAAAGGTGCTTCGCATTGTAATCATCCTTCAGCACTTGATTGCAAGTTTTGACACTGAAGAACCTTACAAACAGAACCAACAGAGCACAATCATCTTGATTCTGCTTTGAATTTAGAGACTCTTTCATATAAGCAATAGAAGAAAGTTGCCATCTCTTCCATTTCTAATTTTTAACTTCACAACTAAAAGGATTTGTAAAAGGACTTAAGAATGTCTTCATACACCTCCTAGACCACTTGTTTGACAGACTTAATACAGAAGGTACACAAACTGACAAAGTAGGACAGGCGCTCAGAAAACTGTTATCACTCCCAATTCTGTTCCTGTGGTGTATCCAAGAGCTTGCTTTGTGTGTTGGTGTGTTCCTGCTTATTCAATACTTGCAGCCAGCCAGTTTTTTTTATTTAAACACCCATTTCCTCCAACTCACACAGCAGGTTAGCTGCTGCACAGAAAGACTGACATACCTGACCTGAAGCTCAGCAGAACAGTTTGCTCTGCTCAGGTGCAGCCAGTCTGAACAGCAACACACAGCTTCAGCTGAGGCTTCTGCCATGAAGTTCTACTAGCACAGGAGAGCACTGAGAGATGAGACTTGGTTCTGTAAATATGTTCTATTCAATAGAATGTAACTCAGAGCAAACCAGGTTTTAAAAAAAGACAAGAGAAACCATGTTAGAAGGAACCATCTCACAAAGGAAGATGGACAATCTATTAGCCCTTGGCAAGCTAAACAATCATGTACACAAAACAACAAGCTGTACAAAACTGAAAGGAGATGGCAAAGGGATCTGTAAGGCTTTCTGTATTCTTATTCTTCTAGCTCAACACTCCTTGCGATCTTATTCTGGAAAAGCTTCAGGGTCACATCAGGACAGCAAGGAATTCTTCTCCAGTATGTGCAAAACTCAACTTTATAAAGGGATAAAATTCCAAAGATAAAAACCAAACTGAAGGCCAGAATCACTGGCTAAAATACTTCCAACTCCAAGAGACTGAAGTTGGGGTATATTTGAAAACATATTCCAAACTTTTAAAATAAACTAGTCTTTTCTGACTGATACAAAGATTTGTTGAGGAAAATTAAAGGAGAATGCTTCTGGTGAATGCTTTCCTTTCCATCATATTCTTATTTGTTGACAGACTTACTCACACAATGACTTCTTATCATTTTTATATCTCTGACTTTTTTGTATCTCCTCCACTTCTCACTCTTCCCCATGTTTACTAGCTTTTTTTTTCAACATCAAGAATCAACCTAGGGGCTCTTATATTGCCCTTGACAGAAATTTGACATGGAAGTGGTATCCATTCAACAAGAAGTTTGAGCTCAGAGATAGGGAAGAGGTATTTTAAAAGTCTATATATAAATAGTACATTGAATGTTTTAGGGATCTACTTCCAGGCTATGTTACAAACAACGTCTGGTGTCTGTGCCATGATCCCAAGTCACCTACATAAAATTAGTGACAGCTAGGCTTCACCAAAATAATGCACCTTCTTCATGACTTTGAAAAGCCAACAAGTTACCTCTTCTGAGCAAGATACCCTGGTTAAGAAGACCCAAGATCAATTGCTTTGTCTATAAACCAAAATGGACAGAAATGACAGATGGCCTTTTGTAAAAAGATCTTCAGATGGGAAGAGAACATGGGAAAAAAAGACATCTCTTAAATGCCGAATGCCACAGAATTTAGCTTTACAGATCTGGACTGAAACCATTTGTTTTACAGGTACAGCATCTTCTGATGTGGAATTTCTACCTCAACATCACATGCTGACTGCAGAACAAGTAACATGTGTTGCACGTGACAGAATCCAGTCCAATCCCTCGCCATGACTGTGGTTAGGTAACCTTGGATGGCTGGATGGAAGATGACAACGTATTCAGGAAAGCGATCAGTTTTCAGACCAGTACTCATAGCTGATCTTGGGACTGTTTTGGAGATGGAGCTGTTGTCACGACGACAGTGGAAACTGCTTTAGTTGAGCCAGACACTGTTCCCTGCTGGAGATGGGAGGCTGGTACTGTTTGAATTCGCACCTGTTTGAAATGGAGAGAAAAAAATTCAACTTGTGTCAAGAACAACCTGGTGTCACACAGCGCTTGCATCACACTGGTAAATGATCTGCTTCTGCTGCTGACAAAACTTCAGTTATGTAACAAGATCAAACACTAAAACATATCAAAAACAGAACGTGGCACAAGATCACTCCATCCACTATTCATGTGGGAGGGTGGCAAGAGATCTCAAGATTAGAGAGGAAGAATTAAAATCTAGTTTGAATAAAAATTGACATATCAGCTGCTATTGCAAGTTTTCAGAGGAAGAACTTGAATCCACTGGACGCTTCACTTCTCAAGACTTATTATTAGCAGCTCTCAAGGAAGATTACTTTTCTGAAACTGAACACTACGTTTTCAGACAGCAAAATGGTTACACAAAGAAGGAATGTGATTTCTTCAAGAAATGTAGGCCTGCAGAGGCCAAAGAGGAAAGCACAACAAGTCAAGGATACGGAAACAATCCTTCAGTCAACCAGAAATGACAGGACTTTTGGTTTTCCATTCATTATATTATCAGTACTTCAGAAGCATTTTAAAACCATAACTGGATGTAAGGAAGGAAAAGGAAACGATGCAGTGCATGTGCTCAATACAGACAAGCTGTGCACCTGTACTTTTCATGGAAACTCATCTATCAGATGTAATGTCCTCATGAAGATGTTAAGTCATCACAAAGCAAATAAGAGAATCATTCTTCATGCCATTACCTGTGTGGCTTGGCCTTGCTGCTGCAGCTGCTGCAGTTGCTGTGCAGTCAGAAAACTCACTGGTTTGTTCCCAGCAATCAGTTTTGTCCCTGCTGGCATTGTAGTCAGGATGATATTTCTGCCCAACCCACTGATGCTAAGGAAAGAGAATTGTTGAAAGGTTAACAAACAGTACAGCAGGCTATGTCTTTTATGAATTATTTTTCAGTTGCTAGGAGATTAAATTACTTAGCTAATTTACTAATGATTTTAATTATTTTTGTTTCACAACAATGACAAATACACAAGTGAAAAGTTTATGTCAACATTTCTCACAATTAGAGAGAATTACCTTATCACATGGATTAAACCCTCTAACTCTGGACCGTGTTTGTTACTGGGCTAGTCTGATCAGACCTCAACACTTCCCAGGGAATGCAGAAAATAGCTGAGCACACAATGTTCTGCCTTGAAATATTAACCAAGGGAGATACTACCAGAATTCATGGAAGAATAAACAGAAAGACAACAATACCTGAACGCCACAGGAATTTGCACTGAGGCAGTTAACACCACACTAGTTTCTTTAACAGAGAGATGGCCTCAGATTATGAACAATTTTAGGTATGTCACCAGGTTAATTCTTGCTCAAACAAAGAACTAATCTATTATAAACTAAACTCTTATAGTTGGTTTAAAAGCAAATATTATTATTTTCTTCCCTGTATTGTTAGAATCTACATCTCAGTGCACCTAAACAAGAACTGCATTCTTTGCCAGACTCCACATTCTCTCAGTTTCTTGCTGTTAGTTAATGGTCCTTTCAACAGACTTCAAATCTCTACCATCCTCTGCTTGCTAGATCCCCAGGAACCTAACTGAACAGAGAACCTCCTCAGTCTATTTCTAAACAAAAGTACTAGATGGAAAGTACTCACTTGGCCCCGAGGTTGCCCTTGATGATGGGGGCAGTCACCACGCTCTTGCCTTTCACTGGCTGGCTGATCACTGACAGAGGCACCGTTATTCGGGCTGGTAGTTTACCCTAGAGAAGTTGAAGAATACATGAGAAGCCACAGGGAATGCAGCAGAGAAACTGCCTGACAACATGCAATTACCACTCAGCTTGCTTTTCAGCATCCTGGGAATAGAAACCAAAGCAGTGTTGCTGATGTAATCTGTACCGTTTCAGTCTAATTAAAATTCACCTCCAACTGATTCACTTCACAAATACCTCAATCCTGCAAATCCCTTTCAGCTTTGCACACAATATTTCTCTGTGAAGGAGCATTGCATTTGCCCATCATTTTTATCCTTATGAAACTATGGTAATGTCAATTAACTTCTTCAACTTTCACAAATACAGTTTACATTGCATTCAGCTTTGGGCATTAAAACTGTATTAAACTGGGACCTTGGTAAAAATGTTTATGCAAGTAAGAAGCACTTCTACTTGTGACACTATTCCAAAAAAGGTGGTTTCAGAAGCACGAGGCAAGATGCTGAACTGCATCTAGTAGTGAGGACTTCAGATAAACCCAGTTTATTTCACTCACTGTCTCAAAAGGAGACACACGGTTAACTGTATTCCAGTCATTCAGTATTTAGCTGCAATTCCAACACCACAAAATCGGTTGTGGACTCACATTCTACAGTACTTAATTTGACCTTTTGCAGATGTAAGAGATTTTGAGAGATAAACCATCAGTAATAAACCACCACTCCCCTTTCTCAGCCAACTCCAGAAACACCTCAGCATTACTTACTGCCTGTGATGTGGATACTACTGTGGTGCTGACAGGCACCTGGCGCACAGCAGTACCTCCTGTGCCTATAGTTATGGGAGTCCCAGCAGCTCCTGAAGCAACAGCAACTGCTTTTGAAACAGCAGCGCTCATGGTTGGTAATGAGACAGTTGAGGTATGGGCTGTGCCAGGCACGCTCACTGCTGCAGAAGAAGGTACTTGCTTAGCATGAGTAGCTACAGTAATTGTCTGCCCAGCTTTGGGTGGCATCACCCCCAGTCCTTGGACGATTCTTATGGTAGCAGCTGGCTTGGCCTCAGTGGATGCCACTGTAGTAATGGCTTTGCTCTTCTGATCTGCCACAGTCATGCCTAGAGCAGGCATCAGTCTGAAAGCAGAACTCGTTGGCTCTGCAGTCTTTAAGTCAGGAGTCACTTTAACCACTGTGCTTCCAGCTGGACTGGAAGAAGAAGATGAGGCTGTGCTAGTCTTGGCTGGAGAATCAGCAGTCTGGACAGGATTGGATGTCACATGCAATGTTGCAGAAATGCCCTTCCCACTAGCACTGCTTCCAGCAGCTGCTGTGAAGAGGTCCTGAGTCAGTTTGACAGTAGTGACTTGAGATTTGGCCAGGGTGGCCATCATGTCCGGGGTGATTCGCAGCACAGTCTGTCCCTTCGCATCTGTGGTGATTGAGGAGGGGGGCAGGCGCAGCACATCTTTTCCTTGGATCCGAAAATTGGTAGCTGTGAGTGGGATGCTGCTTCCAGGCTGGGTCTTCATGCCAAGCTGCCCTGTAATAGCCACCTGGAAAAGATCAGAGAACCAGATACATCAAACTGGAACACAGTCCAGAGCACAGTAAAACAAGAGTAAAACTTCCCAACAGGTTGATGTTTGCTCAGTGTTCTTTTCTTCCTCAGCAGGATGCTAAGTACTTACTGCACTCCTGAAAATAGTTTTGGTTGCTTGCTACACGGCTTTCACAAGATCATATGAAATGTCCTGGAAACTGCTTCTTTTTCAAACAAAAGGAAAAAAGAACAACAGGCGCAGATTCTAAGTTAAAGAGCCTGCACTAGCATATTCTTTACCTGAACATGAAAATGGGGATAAATACAGCAAACCAGCAATTGCCCAAGTCTGCATGCATGGTCAGTCAACTTGTACGTGATGGCTAACTATTCCTTTCACTTTCTTTTCACATCTGCATGCACATCTGTCACAATAAATGGTAAACAACTGGGACATGCAGTTCACTCTCATCTCTCCTCCCTCTCACCTGCTTGATGATATTCTGGCCAGCTACATTCTGGATGACAGTGGTAGAGGAGGTACTTGTAGCAGAACTGCCTGGAGAGCTGGTTACTGCCTTTACAGCAGGACTGGGTGCTGCAGACAGTCCTGTCACAGTGATGCCTGTCTGTCCTGTCACAGAGGTTCCTTGTCTTTGCACCTGTACTGGACTGGTTTGAGCTTTTACTGGTAGAGTCATCACAGCCTACAGCAAAACAAAGAGGCAGCTTATGAGCAGACTAACACAACCCTAACAGACTAATACACAGTGGTTTTGTCTCATGCCTTAGCTTGCAAATTCTGTATTTTTTAGTGTAACATACAAACAGACGCTGCCACATAAACTGGCAATGGAAACAAAAAAGGGAGCACAGAACAGTATTTGTGCACAACTGTTAACAATGCTCTGTTTCTGCAGCTGCACCATACTAGAGAGACCCACAGACAAACATCAGAGCTACTCCACCATTTCCAAGCAGCCAGTCTCACCTGAGGCAGTACTTTGGTTTGCGTGGCTGTAGCTGGAACACGGATCTGAGGCACTGATGTAGGCGGCTGCTGCTGCTGCTGCTGCTGCTGTGTTACCACCGGGGCTTGCTGAGACACAGCTGGGAGGCTGGACTGGGCACTGACCACTCGGACCTGCGGCAATACTGATGATGCAGTATGACTTACCACCCTGGTGGGAGGTGGCTGCTGCCCAGACTGAGTCTGTGAACTCTGGGCTGTGGAAAGCAGTGTCCCAAGCTGTGGCATTGTAGGGGATGAAACCAGAAGAACACTACAGAAAAGATAAAGCCAGTAGGTCAGCAAAGATGGAGATGACTGAGAAAAAAACAGTAATATTTACAAGTGACGTATAAGACAGAAGGAGAGCATACCTTTGGCTGGATTTTGCTGGCTCTGATCCAGCATTAGGTACACTCTTGCTAACCACAGACACTGGTGGGGGTGAAATAGGTGTTGCTGGTAATGCTGGTGCAGTAGGTGTCACAGGAGTCACGGGAGTTGGTGGCATGCTGGAGTCACTAAGGCTCAGCTGACTGGGCTCTGATGTGCTGCTGGGGAGTGCTTTCACAGAGCTCTCCTTGTTACTAGATTTCTGCAGAAAAAAACAAGTCAAAATGAAGGTTTTTACAGAAACTGGTTGTGATTGTTGCACTGTAAGGAGAATGGACTGAGCACTTTAAAAAACTGGAAAATTACAAATGATGCCATAGTGCAAAATCCTGAAATCATAGACAACTATCTTTCTGCCTTCCTCAATGGCAGCCACAAGTGGGCTGGTCAGTTTGGATTGTTCCTATTCTATGGGAGAAATGCATCTTAGCACTGAGAAACGTTCACAACAGACATCTGTCAGATGTCCACTTTGGTTAATTTGCCAGCCGTGACTACTTTACAGGTATTTGGTATCAATACCAAAAAATAAAAGAAAGATATCCAAATCCTCACAACTTCAGCAGAGGAAGAGGGAGAATAGCAGGCATGTTTCACATGCCCTGCTACAGATTAATCTCAAAAGATCTAAAGAGACCACTTCTAAGAGAAGGAGCACAAGTAAATCCTGTTGACCTTCCTGCCAAGATCAATATGGGTAATATGGGTCACAGCAGACACTGGGAGAAGCAAAGTTTTCTCTTTTCTTCTACATTCTGTGCACTAGTACCGGACTAACTCTCACATATGTGTACAGAAAGGAAATTAAATTAATAGGTGGCAAATTTCATCAGCCTCAACAGGTGCAAAATTTACAGATTAAGTTAAATCCGTATCTCATTCTCAATCACAAAAGCATCCATGCCAATCTGTGCAAAGGAACTTACCACTTTTGCTGGAGGTTTTGGCTTCTGCTGGAGAGCCTTCTTGGCCTTTGCTGCAGCAGCTTGAGCCTGGTGGATCCGTTCTGCAAGTATAAGATAAAAAAAAAAAGTTCAAGTTAGGGTTCCTCCTGAACACAAACAAATTGCTTAAGAAAGTGGCCATCTCTAAGTTCATCTTCAGGCAAGAAATATAACACACATCCATGTAGGTACATGTAATAGCACATAAAAAAGGGCAAAACAAAATTAGCCCAAAAGGCTGAAATGAAGATGTGCTGAAGTTGTCAATGTACATGCATCTGCAGTTCTTGCACAAAGAATGCTATTTTTCTACCAAATACTTACTATAAACTAGCATACTGCTCTGCAAGACTGTATGTTGCTGGGCAAACATTAGCAAAGACTAGAGAAAAAAAGCTAGACTGATGAATTAATGTTCATTATTCAACTAGGATAGAGAAGCTCAAGAACACAGCAAATGCTCTTGAAAAAATGGGGTGAAATATGGAGACATTTTCAGTTGTGTAGATGAGTGAGCAGGGCAGTCCCACCAAGCCAGGCTTACCGAACTCTTCCTCACTCCTGTCCCGGTGCAGGTAGATCCACAGCTTGCGTCCAACGTCGTATTTAACACAGGGATCTTTCTCATAATGTAATCGATCCAAAGCGCCACTAACAACAGCGTTAACCTGAAAATTCAGAATTCACCAATTTACAGAAGGTCCTTGTTGGGGCAGCTGAGGTCACGTATAGAAAAGTCAAACCCATTCAGCATTAAACCAGAGCAATTCGCTGGCAATCCGAATGTAAGAAGTGACTAAGAGCAGAACTTGCACTACAGGGTGCTGCTTGCCCTCTCAGATTAAATGGAGCTCCATTTAATCCAAGGCCTCTGAAAAATCAACTGTTTCTGAATCTATTCTTTAAGCAGCTGTATACATGACGTGGAGAAAATTCTGGGTCTTTTTTCCCAGATGACATCCAACTTACTTGAGCACTTGTGACATCAGGAGCTAAGAACTGGGAATCTTTAAGCAGCTCACAAATTTCAGCACGAGTTCCTTCTCCATTAGGAAGCCGAGCAGCAGCATCACGAACTGAAGTAGAAAATCAGAGCTTAAACTTTCAGCCCCAAAGAAGCAGTTGTATTCAAATAATTCAGCAGATATGTTTCCGTATTCCTTTTTCCTCCCCACTGTACAATGCCCTCTCAGTCAACAAAATCTAGTGCCAATGATCCCTCAGAGCCTCTGATGTCTGTACGAGCAGAGATTACAAATGATCATTTTAAAGTACACTGACTGTGCTGGTGTGGAGCCAGGAGCAACGAACACAGGGACCAGCACTCAACTCTACAATGCCCCAACTTCACAACAGCACACTTAAACCACTATTCTTTGTCTTCCAGTTATCTGAGCCTTAGCTTCCACCAGCCCCGTGAGCTCTCCTCTCCATTTCCCATTTTTTCTCAGAAAAGAAGTAAAACACAGCTGTTTTCTGTTCTTGTAGTAAACTCCAGCTCCCAGCATTTCATCACCATTATTTCAGGTAATTTTTTTCTTCTTCATTTATGCCATATCAGTCCATCCACCTTTTTCTTTCACGATGTAGATTCCTAAAGTCATTGTTTGGGACAAATGTGCCTTTTAATTAGTAAATCAATAACTGTCAGAGTGTGCAATCACCTTACCGAGGGACAAGATGGTGACATATGCTGGTCTGTCTGATCGCAGGAGAGAATGCTCTCGGGCTTTGTTTAATGATGTTTCCTTGTCAAACACCCCTTTCACAGGACCAACAACCGACTCAAAGCCGTGCATACGGAAGGTGAAAGCTTTGTGGGGCTGGCTGTAACGGTAACGTTCCTGTTTTGAAACAAGACTGAATTTAGCAGGACACAGATAGAGCAAAGTCTTGAGGCTTGTAACTGATATTGTATTGGAGGTTAAGTTACTATCATCCTCTAGATAGTTCCTTAATTAAACGCTTAAATAGTGTAGAACATAGTTTAGATCAATTAATTTTCCTGATACCCGTTGGAAACATGGGGGTTTTTGAAATAAGCAGTTAGGATATGTTGTTAGCAAGTTCTATCTGAGGCTGAAATACCCACTTCAGTAAGAAGAAACACATGAATCATTTGTACCAACAAAGTTTTTGGAGAGTACACAATTCTCAAACCATACAAATTCTCTTGCTTTAATGACCAACTCCTAGGAAGATTCTTTTTTTACCTGCTCCTGGAATACACGTTTCTCCTCTCCAGTGCTAGGTCGGACTACGTAGTCAGTCCTTCTGAAACAAAGACCACCATCAGCTTTGAGCAACAAACCCACAGTAATCCCAAAAACTATCCCAAAGGATTAGCCACCTCACTGCAAATTCTTCTGGCATCAAAGAAAAAGTTCTGAAAGCACTTATGCTGGTATAAATAATCCTGCAGAGTCCTTAAAATATTCTCTACAATTTATCTGAAAGTAAGCAAGGACTGTAAGCAATCTAGTAATGAGGACACACATTAGATCAGAGGTCTCTTGGGGTTTGCAATGTCTAGTTATTTTATCTATAAACTGACTACAAATTCCCTCCCAACACATGATGCAAAACTTTTCTTTGAAGTAACCAGCTTTTCAGGTCTAGAGGTACAAGGATCAAACCTCCTAGCTTTAGCACATACTGTGAAAGTTTAAAAGCAGTATTATACACTTACACTCTAGGAATTGGCATTGTAGCATCTGAGCTGTCTTCATTTTCCTATCAAAGAGACAGAAATGTCAGTGTTGGATACAACCCAGTCACGCTTTGTGCTGCTAAAAGACCATTTTCTTCTGACTCACTTTGAAGAAAGTCTGGTCCTTGGTCTCCAACCAGAGCTGAAACAGTGCTGCCAATTCCTTCTCATGATCTTGGCAAGAACCTAGTCCAAAAATCAAGAAAGATAGGAAATGAAAATTATTTGTTATGAAGCCAGCTGCTTGTACTTTCCAATCACCTCCTACTCCCTTCTAACCTCCACACATCACCAGTCACAAGGCACCTTACATACTTCATAGATGCTCCAGTTTCACTACTTGAACACACTCAGGCACAGCAAAGGGCTACAATCTAATAAATCCCCTGTGCTCATATGAAGGATAATGTTTCACCTCCAGGAATAACAGAAAAGACACTGCTTGCAATACAGCCACTTGGCATGTGCAGGTGGTCTCCACTTTCCAAAGTAAACTCAGTCAGCAGGACCCCAAGCAGAAACAAGTGTCTACATAACCTGTACCAAAGACTAGGAAAAGGACTGGAGGAATATCACAGAATAACAGAATCATTAATGTTGAAAAAGACCTCTAAGATCACCAAGTCCAACCTAACTCCAAAACTTTGCCAGTTTAAAACCTGTGAATATGACCAAGAGTCACAATAGCTAAGAATAGAAAAATCTGCCTAGTAGCTAAAGCTAAAGTAAAAAATGCAAAGCATCTGTAATTCACACAATATGAGCTTGGGCAAATTTATTATTAATTTGCTCTTTGGTTCCTGCTTGTAAAATGAAAATAAAATCAGCCTGCTTCACAGAGAAGCTTAAATTATTTATAATTGTAATTAAGAATTAGATGGAATAATCAGAAAGCATGCTCTACAGCATGGAAAATATGAAAGTGCTCAGAAAGATCTGAAGGGTGACAAACACAGCTATGTCAGCAACATAAAGGAAAAAAAGCTCAGTTCCTTTGATCACTTACTCTTTCTACTGCTGAAAATAACATCTAGCAAAAGTACTGAATGTAAACCACATTTCTGCTCAGCTAAAAGAATACAAAAGGCCTAACCACTGAAATTACGGATCTACTGGACTTCATCTCTGGGCTACAGCAAGGAAAACAGAAGAGTTCTGGAGAAAACAAATGATCTTTATAACAATAGAAATCATAGAAAAGTGCAAGTTACCAAGCAATTTCCACTGCTGAGTTTTTTCCTTGAATTCAACAAAAGGTGAGAAGCTGGAAGGAACATCTACAAAGAAAGATGTGCAGTTCAGAAACATCACACACCAACACAACCCCCACAATTCTATGGCTGTAATGCAAACTGTTGAGTCAGACTCACAGTGACAGCATTTTAAGTGATTACATCTCCAAATGTACACTTGCCCAATGGGAAGGTTAACATCTCCCAGGTAACAGTGCCAGCCCAAGTAACAGGACAGGGTAACAACCCTTTTATCTATAAGCTGTCAGATGAGATCCCAGGAACTGTTACTGTATGGTGGCTATCCATGGGCTCATGTTGAAACAAACTTGAGATTTACAGCAATCACCATCATGTATCCATTTTGAAAAGGCCACTACAATCCACACCGTCCCTCCATTTAAAACTAAGCAAATCAGAACCACAGAATAAATTAGTTTAAAAGGAACAAGTGGAGCTTAGCTGGCCCAAGCCCCCAGGTAAAAGCTGGGCCAACTTCATGTTTTCATTGGATTGCTCAGAGCAGCATCTTATTTATTTTTCATTATCTCCAAAGGCAACCACAACTCTTTGCACCTGATTCAAACATGCTGCCTTAAGGACATGATTTAAGCAGGAGAAACAGCCTGTTTCAGTTTCACATTCACTAGAATGTGGGGTCTAATCTACCATCCTCATGCAAACAAAGTCTACCACAAGCAAGAAATAAAACCTAAGACCTATTACAGAAACACTGTAAACAATACAACAACTTATTGTACTGATGAATTAAAGATTGACTGAAGCTGTAATATAAACCAGCACTGATTAGAACAAATGTACAAGCACCATTAGTATTTCTGACAGCTATTCTTACCTCTGCTGTCACCTGTCAGATATTGCAAGGCAGGTAAAACCAGTTCAGACCAATTAGGGGCAAAGGAGAACCAGGTATTCAGTGCACTGGCAGGAGAAGTTTGCCAATCTATAACTTTATCCTCAAGCTGGAAAGAAAAAATAAGCATTCTGTTAAAGATTGAATGACCTAAGCTATGAATGTTCTCATAGAAAACAAAACAGCCAAACTTTTAATGGGAAAAAAAGATTCAATGCTGACAAAAAAAGATCATCTGACTTTTTCAAGTAACTGTAAGATAGTATTTCAGAAAACAGACAGCAAAAATGGGGGAAAAATTTCCCCCTATCACCAGCCTTAATACACAGAATTTATCTCATCATGACCTAAATAGCGGATATGGAAAGACTTATGAAGGCAGTTGATTAAGTGCATGAAACTCGTTACAAACAGGATGTGGTATGCACTCCCAAACACTTGTCATTTTTTATATGGAACCCACACAAGGACGTGATTTAGAGCAGGACACTTCTGGAGAAAATCTCTATTACACAGCTACAAAAAACTCTGTACTCTAATTTTACTTTCTGCAAAGATTCTTAAACATGTGGGTGGTTCTCACCACAGAGAGACTGGCGGGTCCTTCCAGAAACAGTATCTCCAACAGAAGGAAAAAGAAGCTGGAAGATATTTCATTTACTCCAAGGCATGGCTTCATCTCCTCAAGAGGTCTTCAAATGAAAGAAAACACAAGCAGTGTGTAAGCATCCTGAGTTGGGGTTCATATACGTATAAGTCCATCTTCATATACAAAGTATATGGAGTTGAACATCCATCCTCCAAGCAGTACAAAGCATTCAGGGCATTTTGAAGCACTTACTCCTCTTTGACAGATGACAGAGGGATGGGGGAATGATCCTGAGACAGTGATGGGATCCCATGTGCACTGCTGAAAGAATCAGCCAAATCTTCCACCTCTGATTTAATGACCTTCAGCTTTTTCTTCTTTTTGTCATCCTTTTCCTTCACCTTTTTCTTGAAGGTTGCAAGGTCAAATAAAGCTTTAGAAATGATAAAAGGTAAGAAAAATAACGTGAAGGCATCTTACTTTATTTCAGTGAGGACCATAAAATAACAATATAATTAAACATATATTCAAAACCACACATAAAACAAACTTATTCATTATCTGATCATCCCATGCTCCTACTCCCACGTGTCTTTTTTTTTTTTCTTCCCTCTTAACAGGAAAATTCCAGTTTCTATGCCAACATACATGAAATTTAAAAAGTGAAGGTTACAGCCCAGAGCAGCATACAAATTAATTTAAAATCAATGAGCTGGCAGCATATCCAATGGAAACTGGAATTGCCTGTGTGCAATCCAAATTTATAATCCCACAGTAGTCAGGTATGCAAAGAGCAAAATACAACACTCAATAGAGCCTACCTCCACCCTTAGATTTCATAGTCACAGAACACACCATATTTATGCAGTGTGCAAGCACTGCTTCCAGCCACTGACCTGCTAAGGAACCTTTCCTGCCAGCATTTACACGAGTCATAATGTCCTCAAGAGTAATATCTGCTGTCACTAAATCTGGGTGGTCCTACATGGGACAAGAAGACAGATAGGAAAATCAGAGATAGATAAAATGCTGTGTTAGCAAAAAAGATACAGAAGATAATCAAACACTGAAACGCATCAAACTTATCTGGGATCAGCTTATAAAGTGAATCACTACAACAGAAACAGGAAAGTCTTCAATCCCCAAGTGGAAAATGTTGTGTCTCAACAACACATGGTGGAAGTTACAGAATACTTCTAAACAAATAACCATGAACAAGGGATGCGTATATCCAGCAACAACTACATGTAATTCTGGTATGGAACTGAAGGGTGGCCACACACACTCCTTGTCAGACCCCAAGATTTCCTGCTAACTTACAGGTTGATATTTTCGTTTCTCACGGTGTTTCCTCAGCATCATCTTCAAATCACTCTCACCAAGTTCTATTCTGTCTGCAGTGAAAAAAGTCAGAGAAAATATGCTTTTCTTATTTTGCTTGGTTACTTAACAGACTTAGAATGCAATTTTCTATTCATTCTCACTCTCAACTACCTCCAACTTACAGTAAATAAATTTTCCTTTATAATTTGAAACTCTTTTCATTGACCAATCTGTTATAACACTTTCTACCTTTGTTCATTAGATTTCATTGCTAACGCAAGTATGGAAGTGAAAAGAAGTGAACACCAAACGTTCTGCAGCCCTGATTACAGTAATGTTCAGAGGAATTCCCTTGCACATACAGCTAAACAGTTACAACTGTACCATACTACTGCTTCAATCATCAAGGACAAAAAAACAACAAAAAAATCAGCAATATTAAACAAACTGTAAATCCTGTGTTAAAATACTATTTTTTTTTTTCAAGTGAAAACAAAGCATGAGAAGATTTGGATATTGTGGGGATTACAAAATTGAAGTATTACATGATTTCTCATGAAACAACAGATTCTCACACCAGACTTATTCCAGGTTCCCAAAGTAATCCTCACACCTCAATCTTTACTGACACCTAGGTTGTTTCTCACCTGCTGTTTTCATGTCCATGGTTGACAAGGTGGGTATCACTCTCAGGGGAACTGGTGGACTTGGACAACGTGAAGGAGAGCTAGGAGGCCAGGAGCTTAGATCTTAAATAAACAAATAATCAAATAAATTTCTGCAGGTCTTATCAGCCCCAAACACAGCTAATCCTTTTCCTCAGTGCTTATTAAAGGGCAGAACATTGGAGTTCACCTCTCGTTCCTCTATCAAATATGTTATCCTTACTTAAAAAAAAAAAAGCCTTTTTCTCTATTCACAACTCGCATCTTTACTTCAGTCCAGGGCATTACCTTCTTCATCAGAAGACAAAGTAGTATCTCCACACTCCTCTTTCACTTCCCTCAGAATCTTCAAGTAGCGCCGATGTGTCCGTTTCTCCCGCTCTTCTGCGTCATACGATGGTGAGAAATGCTTTCTCTTCAGGATCATATCAGGGCCTCCTTTCCTAGCTAACTCCAGCAAGTGCTGGAAGAGAAGATATGCATGCTATTAGTTACCTCAGTTACAACTCTATAAGTTAGAATGGTCAAGCTATGTGCAACCCTTGCAAAGTAACAGAATTTGTTGGCAATTTTAAAATCAGCATTATAAACCACCTTTCAAGCAAAGGGGAACAAGAAGAGATCTAATAAGAGATTTCTGCATCTTCCTTAGTACGTAAAACACTGCACTATCACAGACCAGCAATATGTGGACTGTTCAGAGACACAAATCACTGGTCTGAGATCTGCTTGTGCAGTTTCCACACCTAACGCAAACATGAAAAACTTCTCTTTTGAGAGCTACAGAAGAAAACAGTTCCTGCACAGTTCTGCATTCATTTCCCATATTCATTAACAGTGCGGCATTTTATACAGACTTCCCTCTTCACCCACGCATCCCCTCTGCTTCTATGTTTAAGTTTAATGCAACAACAAGCAAGCATTTACAGAGGATATATTTCAGTTGGCAGAGATTGGCTGACAGCAGTATCCATAGAAGACTTTAGAGACCCTATTCGACTTTAGAGATCCTATTCTACATCACTTTCCAATGAAGCAGTGAGTTTTGTAAAGCTTTCTGTTAGCAAACTTCTGGTTTCACAATGACAAACATAGAAAAATCACAGCAGATTGACTCGTTAAAATACAGTGAAAAAAGGCAAATCAGGGGTGAAGTGGGCACAAAAAGGACACTACACAAATGAGAGCTATGAGAATTTTAAAACCTAAGTTTGATATGCATCTTTGCAAACAGAACAGAACATTTCAAGCGTTCTTATTTTACACAGGCCACTGGAAGAGAAGAAAAAGTAAAAGAAGGAGACTGGAGAATTGCGAATGCATAAACACCAAGGCACACACTACTGAAAAAACAGCCTGTCAGTTACAGAGCACAAGAAAGTGATGGCTGAAGACACTCACATTGCGGGAAGCAAGGATCTGCTTGAGCAGTCTGTAGAAGTACTGCTGCTGAGAGCTCAGGTAGCGTTTGTACTGCGACTTCAAACACAGCTGCCGGTACTTCACAACTTCAGGATTGAAGTGCCCATCTGTAGTAAAGAGGTAAAAATTCCTTCAGTTTTCAGCCTGAGAACTTAACTCTGATAACACACTACAGATTATTGTGCTCACTGACCCCGGAAGAGTTTCTGGGCAATGTGCAGTGGATTTCCAAAGCGGAAGTTTTCACCGCTGAACAACGCAGAGATGATTTTGTTCTGATGCTCGCGGTTGTTTTCAGGAAAGTGAGGCAAGAATGTTTTTAGGTGTTCTTGCTGTGCATCTGTCAGCACCTCCTGCCACGTAGACAAGCTGACAACCTCAAAGAAGATCTCAGGCTAAAGAAGGGAATTAACAACAATGAGAAAAAATGCATACGCATCTTTAGCAACTTCAGCTCTTCAGGCTTTCTCTGGTTAAATAACACAAGGCTGTCTCACACTGAACAAACAACAAAACAACACTGTACAGAAGTTGAGGAAATAAATGAGATTGGTAGCAGGAAAATTCTGTTCCTCTGAGATCCCCACAATAGGAGTTAGGCACACTGTTTGTCAAGGCTCTGCAAACACAAGGCACTACTCACATCCTCCAGAAGGTCCTCGGGCAGACTGACTCTGGTTGTACCCAGCAGGCAGTCCTCCATGATCCGCGCTCCATTTCCATCCCCGCATGGCCCCAGCTCCAAGGGGTCTGTCAGCATGTGATCCAGGGAGTCCATTCTTCTCTTTCCAGCTCCTGAACAACAGCAACAAAACTCTCAGCACAGCCACCAGTACCAGAGCTCCCAAACCAGCTACATCCCACACTGACAACATCTGAGGGGTCACATTTGACAAAGCAGCTGTTTAAGTACAAGTCACACAGTCAACCCAAGGGACACAACCACAGGGAAACACAGAAGGATATTCAACTGCAACATAAACTGTGCCAACAGAGGAATGCTTTTACAGTAGCACATAACACCACCAAGCACAGGTGATCACCTCACACTAGGTGTGCAGAAGCTGTCACACATGGAGTGAAACATCACGATAAAGTGACTACGTTTATCTTTTTGGAGCATCTTTAATATGCAAACCGAAACACTGACACTAAGTTCAGGCTTTTCACAAGAGCTGTTTGCAGGCAGGGGTTGACGGAGGGCCCTGCTCCCCTCACACAGGAGGTGGAAACGGCTGCACAGCTCAGCTCTCGTCTCCCTTGGCTTTCCGCAGAGGCCGAAGGGCAGGAAGCACTCAGAGCAAGTAAAAGAGGACGGGGGTTCGGCGCTGAGCAGAGGCGACCGCCCCGCCAGGCGCCCCGACCGCGGGCACCGCGGCACGCACCGCCGGGGGGCTTCGGCGGGCCGCTTAACCCACACCGAGCGCTGGAGGCCGCCTCCCCCGCGCCCAGGCCGCCTCCTCACCTCAGCGGAACCCGCACGGCTCCTCCACCGGCAGAGAGGCCGGGGAGCCGCCCCCCGGTAAGCACCCGGCCTGCCGGAGCTGCTCCCGCCGAGGCGCGGCCCGGGGCTGCCGGTCGCTTCCCTCAGCCCCCTCACGGCCCCCGAGCCGGAAGTCAGATGGCAAGCGCACCGGAAGTCAAAAGGCTCCTGGAGCTCCTGCGCATGCGCCAAAGCACGGCTGCTGCGCCTGCGCAGTGCTGCAGCCTTCATAGAGCCATGGACTTAGAGGGAGAAAGCCCCCCCCATCCCCTCGGTGAGGATGGACAGTTTTCTTAATTAACACCTAATTAGAAGCTACAGTTTCCCCCACACCTTCCCCACAGCGCAGGGGAACACTCACACCAGCCCACACAGACCACAGCCTTTTTTTTTTTTTTTAAAAAAAAAGATTTATTAATTTTGTTTTTACATCTGCCAGGTAGCACAAGACTATTAACACTCTAACAGTCACTGAATGTACAATGAACATACACATTTAAATAACGGCAGGCAGAACACTGTGGGAAAGAGCCGAGCTCTGTCCCCAGCACCCAAGCAGTCAGACAGGTCATCTCAGGGTGGGGTGGTTTCTTTTTTTAGGGGGGGTAGTGGAGAACAAAAACAAAACCACAATAGAATCTGACCCAGAACACCACACAGAAAAGCATGAGCCCACGCAGAGCCCATGGCAATTCCCATCTTTGAGCAGATAGCAGTGCTGCAGAGTTGAGCTCCAGGAGGACGCTGTTTTAAAAGACAGATCTCTGGGGTGGCTCTGGTTAAAAAACAATTATAAATCCCACGTCTTCTGCACTGCAGAAGTTGGAAAAAATCCATGCAAACTGTTGCCTTTGTCTTCTTTCTCTTTAATGGCTTGCCCTGCAGCACAACTGCTCTGCAGAGCTGTTCAGCTTTCCCCCCACGCTCTGGGAAGTCACTGTACTTAATTACTTTGGAATGAAAATTCACACTACTTGATTTCCAGACATGCTTCTCCCTCTACAAAGCATCAGTTTGACTGAGGACACGATGAATCACTTAATGCTGGTGTCAAGCTGATGGCTTGAGTACACTGCTATTGCTGTGGGACAGAGCAGAAATTGCAATAAAGCAGGTATGAGTTCAAAGATGCCATTTTACAACTGTTTTCTGGAACACTTTGCACTTCTCAGCTTTAAAAAGAACTGGTACAAGAGCAAGCTTCCTCATTCTGTGACCTTTCCCAAAGTTGAATAAAGCAAAGTTGTTTTTTTTTTTTTTTTAATTTCACATTTGCAAAATCATTAAAGACAAAGTTTGATACCAAAGATTTCAGGCTTTAAGACTTTAAAAATGCTCCTGTAGAGCAGCATCCATTTGCAATTAAATAATTTCCAAGTCTTCTACTTTTCTACTGCTCATACCATGTTTGACTTGTGTTGACCATACAGCAGACCCTTTCCTAAAAAAGGACACTGTGAGGCAAAGCCAGTATGAAGAGCTTCTTTCCATTCTCCCATACAAACACTGCTATGGCCAGTTATTTAAAAAGTGCTCAGCAACATGATTTCAAATGAATCAAGGGGAATCACAGCTGCTTGGCTGCACTGCTGAAGTAGATGAGCTCCCAAATGCACCGAACCGAAAGACTCATCACTGTACCTGACTAAATGGGAGCTCAGGTCTTCAACTACTTATCAATCTCATTAATGCCCCAATTAGTTAATGCCCCACTATTGTGGCTGCAATAGGAGAAGTGAAATCCCAGGCACAAATTCATCTACACTTTGGCAAATCACTTCAAAGCTACCTTGAAACAGTTCTGGACTGGCCAGTATTTTAATCAGGATTTCTCATCATGCACAGTCACTATTTCCACGCCATATTGATAGATATGTTATTTACCAAGGGAATACATGCTACAAGGCTTTGCCAGCAAGTAACAAGACATCTGCTTTCCAAGTCTGAGCGTTAAGTTCTCTCATATCTAAGAGCTTTGCCTCCGTAAGGCCTGGCACCACAACCTGTATACATGTATAACACTACTCACATGATTCAACTTCATCTCAATCTGTAGAAGTAATTACACCAGAGTTCCAGATTTGCACTCAATGCAGCGTAAGAGAAAAATTTTAAACTGAGATCCTCTCTTAGTTCTTCTGGCCTTTCTCAAGGGCCATTAAGACAGAACTTCTCTGCTTTCAATTTTATAAATAAGTTTATCCTGTTATGCACTGACATTCTGGGATGATTTCAAGCAGAATGAATGAACATTTAGACATATGCAGTACAGCCCATCAACAGTATATGGTGTTGTAATCATACTTTCGCAAATACCAAAAAGCATTAAATAACCAACCAGCACGACCTGTGAAGGAAAAATATGTAAGAAAAAAATACACTGCCTTAAAAGAAAAAAAAACACCTTTCCCTCTCACCTGGTCCCTAGACACAACATGAGTTCTGTACATAGACCAGGTCTAGCAAAGCAGGCAACTCTCGCAGATGGCTTTCTGTGTCCTGTAAATAGTGGTCCACTGGTATTTTTCTTGTGTTTTCTGAGTCCATGGCTGGTCATTTTAAGAAACTGTCCAAAGGAATTAGTGTGTTGTTAACAAGGTATTTGGAAAACCAGCATAACCAACTCTTCATCCAGTCTTCAAGAGAAAGATGCATCCAACTTTGAGGTGGCAACAGAGATGACTACCCTGCATTTTCAGATGTGCTTCTATAGCCATTTCTCCTGGCAGATCTATTGTTAGAGATCACAGCAGAAGCTGCTGTGCAGGCTAAGGTAAGCCTTTTTTGTTTACGGGCAAAAAGGTGTTTTCCCCTGCAAACTCTGGAGGGAAAAACAACAACAGTGGCTCCGTACTACTGTTACGTGCTGCTATTGTTTTATTCCGAACGTAAGGCTGCACTTTTCCTTTTTCTGGAACTGCTTGGTAAAGGAGGATAGGCGAGACAGCATGTAAACAGTTTGAGGGTTGGAAAAATAATAATTTAATGGACTGCTTCTGCACGTCGTCACAGCTTCATTGCAATATCCATCCCCACACATACGCAAGAGTCACCCCTTCACTGCTGCTCTTTTTCTCCAGGAAGTCTGCTCTCAAGCTTATATTCCCTTTCACCTTGCCTGCTGAAACAAAGACAGAGAAAGCAGTTCTGCCATATTCCAGCAATTCACATGATGTCCTGTTGTTTAACAGCTCCTATTACAAATACACATACAACATAACCTGCCAATCAGCCTTCAGATGGACAAGCTACTCCCTTACAATTGAAATAGTAGATGGCTACCAGAGACACTTCTCAGAAGGAAAAAATTAGGGTCAGCAGACATGCCAAAAAAGTCCAGGGCAAGCAGAGGTTTCATTTCTCCTCTTGTCCTTTTTGTTAAAAGCTGCATAAAATGGCATCCCAGAAGGATTTTGAGGGTAATTCTTCATGGTCACTGAGGACTTAAACCCTCTTAAAGCATTAACACGAGCTCCAGGATTTTAGCTGAAGTGAGCATATACTTTAAAACATATGAGCTCCAGGATACCCATATACTTGGGCTTTTAGAGGAGGTGAAAAATATAGGTGACACCCCAGTGCTTCTTCATTCGTGTTCTGCTGAGAAAGTTCTTGGTTTAGTGATGTGCACTTCACTGCCCCCATTTCCATTGGTGGTTGTAGTGATTATGTACTGGGTTGTTTGCTGCTGATTACTTGTTTGAGATTCCAGCGTATCAGTGTGGGTTGGTGGCTGGGAAACACCAACCTGTACCTCACTGGAGAGTGAGGAATTCTGTTTGACATCCAGATCAGGTTGACCTTCAGATATCACATAGTGAGTCTGCAAGAAGAACATAAAAAGTAAATCGTTTCTTCTGTAGTTTCTGTTCTAATCATCTCTAACTTTCCTGCTGCTATGCTGAATGACATTTTGGCATAAATAAGGAATCTTGAAGAAGTCCTGCTTTAAAATGTAGCTATCAGACCAGTGTAATGAAGCAGACTCTTTGTTTTGAGGTATGTTGGACTACTTTGGTCCATTAACAAACTATTTATAAAGTTAACTCTGCACTAGAAATTAAGATAGCAATTTACAACTATTTTACAACTATTTTACAACTATTCTGAAAGTTTCTTGCATTACGCATATGTTGAGCTGAAGTTCTACTTATAATGTCCAACGTCAGTGAAGTACAACTGCTGCAACTCTCCATTTGGGACTGCTTAATAGATAAGCATTCAGTTAACCTTTACAGACTTAAAGCTTGACATTATTCTAGATTTAAAAAAGCCTTTTTTTTTTTCCTTACCTGAGTAACTGCTTTCACTTGCCCTGTGTTGACAGTGGTGACAGGTGTACCTACAGCTGTCTCTGTGATGACATATTGGCCTTGAGGGATGGTCATCATCTGAATCTCGGATGCTAAAAGATTGAAGCCAGAGAATCAACATCTGCAAACTCAAAGACCACCTTGAAAGATGATTTTGTCTTGCATCAATAACAAGAGTAGCTATTGAGGATTTGGTGTTTCATGAATATAACTGACATCCTGTTATCCTCCAAGAAATTACAGAATTACCATCCTAGCTGCAAGGATGTAAAAAAAAAAAAAAATCATTTCACATCATCATCTTGTTTTTTTTTTTTTCAAGGATCCATTCAAGTTTGAATAATCCTTGGATTAAAGGAGCCCAGTTTGCCTGACCAGACCACATACCAGATAATTATAGACCTACAGCAATAAAAGCACAATACAATCACTTTCATTTAAGGTAATACTTAAGATGGACAAGTTCTGAAAACATTCCATTTGTTGGCCAGTAAAAATAGAAAAAAGTAGCTAGCCAAACTTCTAACTACTGCTGAGACTTACAATAACTCCGAAATGAGTTCCACGTGCTGGGAAGATACGTGTGCTGGACTGAAGATCCTTGCTGCTGCTGGAGGGCTTGGCTTTGTGTAGATGCAGCTGTCTGCATCTGCGAGGGGCTGAGTTCCTGCTGTGATTGTTGTGAGGGACTCAAAGGCTGACCCCCAACCTAGAAAAAAAGAAGCAAGCAGACTAAGGATTGTATACCCCTGCACCATTATCAACATAGCCTTCTTTATTAAGGGAAGAAAATTGAGGTTTCAGTAGCATACGGAGCACAAGTACAAAGCTTTCCTCCACTTCCCCCAGCTTACATCTCTCCATGATCAATGTGCAGAGACTAGTAAAGACAGACATGGCTTCTCAAGGTTTACACAGGGCCTGAGGAAATGGCACAGCTCAGAGAGGCTGACTGGATATTAAGGAAAGGTTCTTCACTGAGACTGCAGTCTGGAACAGGCTCCCCATGGAAGAAATCATAGCACCAAGCCTACGCCATTTTAAAGAAACATTTGGACAATGCTGTCACACGTGGTTTAATTTTTAGGTAGTCCATGAGTTGGACTCATTGATCCAACATTGAGTTGGTCCCTTCCAACTCAAGATATTCTCTGATTCCAAGGTAAGAAATCTGGCAGAGGACTTAAACAAGAGGCTAAAAATTATTCCAGAGCATGAAGAACTGAACTTCAAATATTTGAAGAATGCCAGTTTTCATTTATATCTTTCAAGTGCTTGCCTCTATTTAATCAGAAATAGCTGTGAACTCACCCATTTCTGGCCATTTATGTCTAACTCCTGTACATTCTGAAAACTTAACTAAACCCCAAGAAATATGATGATCTCAGGGATGTTTACATGGCAATTCCTCCTTGTGTGGTCTTTTAACTGATGTACAAAATGATTACTGTGATTCAGGATAGTAATATACCATCTGTGCAGAGAAGAGTGAAATACCTGTGATGATGACTGAGCTGTGGGTGATGGCTCTGTGACTTGGATGTGCTGCACCTGGATGGCATGCTGGGTATATGTCTGGGGGTCATGAAGCTGTCCAACGTCCACTGTGGAGTGCTGAGACTGGTGAGGTGAGGTAGCCTAGAAAGAAAACCAAAGCAGAGGTATATATTTCGAGTTCTCTGCAGAAGCAGCCAAGAACTTTCCTTGCTTTATTTTTAACTATTCCCTAACAAATCTCCCAGTATTACAGCCCCAAAGAAGCACAGGCTTCCTATGAGAGGGTCAAAAAGCATACAAGATCTCCCAGCAGGTTACACACCTGGGCCACTTGAACAACCTGCAGTTGAATGTGCTGAGGCTGCTGCAAGCCAGTTGTGGACTGAGACACAGGGATGTACTGGATTCGCTGGTAGTCCCCCTGGGGAGTTCGATAGTCTGTTGTGAGGGTCTGGGACAGCTCCGTCATTGCTTGTGTCAGTAAGTCTGTTGTCTGAGCAGGTAGAGAGAGAGAGACAGAATATCATCCATACTGCCTACAGGACTGAATACCATTGTAGGGCTGCAGTTCTTTACTGCACTGAATCTAACACCTACACCACTGAGCCTAGCCATTTCTTTACAACAACTAAATGCATACTCAGCTAGGCTGATGGGGTCACAAGCTGTCACCAAGGATCATCCACTGTCTAAATGCTAGTCAGAATCACTCAGAGCAAACTTCATCATCTTTCTTTTTTTAAAATTATTGTATGTGATTTTCTGACTTAATACTTTGTCTGGGAACTTTGTCTACTTTTTCTAAGTGCAGGATTTCTGCTAGTAAATAGACTATTGTTTTCTTAAATATACTCCACCTTTCCTCCACATCTGCCATAATGATACTTTTCTTAACAACTGCATTTCTAAGATGCATTAGAAAATGTAATGAGTGAATCTCCCTATTTCCAAGCAAAACAGTCTCTTATCCAGTTTTAAATAAAAGTTATAGACAGTTACTGATGGAAGGTTTTTAAAAGCTTTGCAGCACCCCAGCAACACCAAAGGACAGAAGACTGATTTTCTAGCCTCAGCTTTCACTTCTGTAGCAGCTAATGCTTTATCACTAAAGAGATCAACCACCAGAGGTTGATAACCACTCAGTACTGCACTGTCTAAAGGATTTCAAAAAAATCTTGAGTCCTCTGAATGGAGTTTGATCCAGTCCTCTGTCTATTGTTGTTAAACATATCCTTACAATCCGCAGCATCTCAGGAGAACAGCCTCTGTGAAAAATCCATGAGAATGAGACATGGATTCCTGAATACATCAGGCACCTTTGCAAGTATTGTGTAGAGTCAATAGCACATGTCTGAAGGAAATGGAATAGAGGAAAAGGTAAATCCTTACAGCTCCAGGAAGAAATACACAATTCCTGGTCAAGCAAAAATACAGCACAGATTCAAGAACAGAAATGACCTCTAGTAGTGTCCTAACACATGCTTTAAAGTGATGCCTGCCAGAAATACTAAGAATCACTAAGACTGCTACCAGAGGGTTCCTATCCTGTTTTGTTTCCCTCCAGTGATCTGACTTAATGCCTTGAATCCTTACCACAACAGTCTCTCCAGTAGTGCTGTCAGTGGTGAGGACTGCAGGAGTGGAACTGATGACAGCTGTCGCCAGTGGGGCATGTATAGTGTTAGGGAGCTGAGCAAACTCTGGGTGCTTCTTGCGAATGTGTTGTACCATCTTTGTCTACAGAGAGATGCAAAAGAACATTAGAAAAATGGCCAGCAACTGAGGCTTAAGGTCAGCTGAAACCTAACACATGTGGACTGCAGCTTATAGGTTTCTCTCACCATGACAGCATTAGGATTAGTACTATGGGATTTTCTGGTCAGCAAGAAGGAAAATAAGATCACAATTTCTTCTGATTAGAGCCACCTGATATAAAACATTGTCTCAAACATCAGAATCCATAAGCTTTTTACCTCAGTGCAGCTAAACATTTGGGGGAGCTTCTCCAAAGGCATCCTTTTCTTTGAATTTTTTTTCCTCTCTCTCTCTTCCCTTGCAGGTAAAGAAGTGATCAGTTTCCAAACTTCTGTTTGTAACCACACACGGATAACACATTCATTTCTTCTTTCAAGCTCATCCCCTCATTTTGCCATAAAACTAGCAAGCTGCACCTATCTTGTCAGCATGCAGCATGAAACTAGCACTCTGGCTCAGAGCAAAAGAGCTCTACATGCAAAAGCCACAGTGAAAGAGCATCACTATGAAAAGAAGCTGCCCTTTGAGGCTATGAGATGCCCCCATACCTTACTGCTGTACTGTTTGGAACAGTGAGGACAGCAGACTGGAGGGGTGGCTATAGTGCCTGTCAGCTGGGTGTGGGTGCTCAGCATGGGATCTGGCTCTCCTGGGCCTGCAGGGCGCAGTTTCCGGATGCTTGGAGGTAGCTCAGCACCAGGATGGTTCTTCAGGATATGTGCTTTGCGTTTGCTGGCACTCTTGTACACCTGAAGGGTAATGATTAGAGTCACATCATTTTAATTTCAAATGGAAGCATAGAAAACTGATATCATTTCTCTTCACCTGGAAGATTTGTATGTTGTTTGTCTAAAAGTATTTAGCTATAACTGTAAACAAGTACAACATAATGCATAGACAGAGATGCACATGCTAGTGTTTAATCAGTCTGCAAGAGTAACTATCATGTAGAATACAGAAGCTATTTGAGAACACAGTCAGTGTAAAACAAAGCTCAAATCAGGATGGGAAATGAAGGGGAAAGCCTTCTTTGGCTTGTACTTAAAGGACAAACATCAGGGAAGCCAACAATCACCAAACTTTTACATGGTCTGGTGTCAATTTATTGTGAAGACTGATGCATTCTTGCATGAAGCAGCAAACAGCATTAATAGCTTTAACTAACCAGAGTCATTTTTTAACTTCTGAGCCATAAACAAATGGTATAGTACTATTTAAACACTATCATTTTTCCCCCTTTAAACAAAGGAAGAGAGACATCGCTAAAGCACGTACCAAGGGTAAGAACAGTCAGTCAAAGTGCATTTTCTGGTAAATAAAGGCCCACATACATAAAAAGCAAAAGGCCAGAGAGCAAGGACAGGAACTCAAGCGCAGAACAAGCTTCAGGCTCTACTGAACACTGGGAATTACTGACATGTGACCAAGCAGCTTAAAATAAACGGGAGATTGGGACCAACTTCTAGAAGCAATAGAGAAACCAGAAGAAATCCTGAAATTATAGCTAAGTAGGATACTTAGTCCTGTATTGCAAAGAGTGATACAGGACTCTGGATGGGCCGCTGCATGCTGAATCTTTTAAATCTTACCAACTCCAAAAATGGCAGAAAAGAATAAATGCAATTTTCAGCTAGTACTCAGACGCCCTGGCCTAAACTCATTTCATCTGGTCAATTTCTTTTGGTCAGTGCTTGCTGGCAAGCCCCTCAGAAACACTGCAAGCCCTGCCAGATGTTTTTGTGCAGAGACAAATTGCTTGTACACAAGCCCAGGACTGAGCTACATTCTGAGGGCTCATTTCCTTACCTACCTTATCACAGTATTGACAGAAATAATCTCTGTTGGGTTTGATGATGGGCAACGTGAGCTCTGGCACCTCTTCTATTTTCATGTCTGGATGTCTCTTTGATAAATGATTCACCTTAGGAGAAAGAAACAGAAGAACAAGAGAGCACATTACAACTGGAAACTAAGCAACTGCTTTTTGTCCTAGACATGGTAAGTGCCAAACCAAAACTGCAGTGGTGTTAGCCAGCAGCACCAGAAGCATTCACTACTGCAAGGGTTACTGTGCATTCAGCCAGTTGCAAGGTAAACACATGGCCTTGCTGTACTTATACCTAGTTTCCCTCGTCAAAATACAATAGAAAGGGTTAAAATAACTTGTCAGAAGTCTTGGGTAGCTGAGAACAAGTTGATATCAAGGATCTCTGCTAGGAGTGATCACAACCCTCAAAACATGAAAGAAACTATTTGCAAGCATCCTTCCACACGGGCGGTGACAGTGCTTGGCCAGCAGAGGCCCCTCCCGAGGAGCAGGAGAAAAAAATGAAAGCATCGTAAAACTGAACAATCACTAAGGCTCAACCAACACTGCACAGTACTGAGAAGGTGGGGACAAGCAGACATGCAAGACAGGCAATGAAATACAAAGATGTACATCTTCTCTATTCAGTGAGTGTGCGCAGGTTTAAAGAAGATGCCTAATTTCAAATCAACAGTAAGATTATGCTGTTTTCACAGCATTGCTGCATTCTAGTACAGGAATTCTACCCTTATTCTTTAACTATTAAGATGTGAGGAGAGGAGCTGGATCACGTGGATGCTCACCAACATCCCCCTGCGGCGGAAGCCCATCATGCACAGCCGGCACTTGAACATGAAGCTCTCGTAGTCAGTGGAAGCGATCCGAGGCTTGAAAGTTTTTGAGCGGCTGATTCGGTCAGCTTTCTTGGCCTCCCTCTCTGGGTTGTGCATCCTCTGCATGTGCTCTCGCAATTTGTCTTTCCTCTACAGGTACAGCAATCAGGGAATAATAGTGATAATAGCAATAACGACATCAGCAGTGCTTACTGCCATACTATTTGCTACAGATAGGAACCACAGAGTAAATTGTTCAAGCACCTCTTTGGCTTTTCCTCTTCACTAGTGCTCTGAAATAGAGGTGCATGTTCAGCACTGGACAAGCACACAAAACTCTTTGGGCTTAGGCTGATTGTTCAAATGCTGAGGTTACTCAGCCACAAATAGCAAAGTCAAACTAATGCTAAATTAGTGGCTTCAATAGAAGTGAACCCCTCCAACCTGGCTTTTCTCTGAATTCATCTAAAATTGACTCTGTGACTAGAAGATTACATCACTTCATGTTCTCCAGCAATGCTGACTTCAAGCCCCACAGTGGCCCTGAGCCTGCCCTGGTGCTATTCAGCCCTTTGGGCACACGCTGTTCAGAGTGTGCTTCTTCACCCAAAAGTGCCTTCCAATCCCCCCAGCATCTCATAAGACTGCTGCCATCACTATTGGCCTGGCTCAGTCTGCTCCGTTTGTTCTAAAGAAATCTACAGACATCTGGATGCCATGTGCTGACAAGATGCATTCCATGGACACGCACACCTCAGCCAGAAATATTACCACTCCATTGGTGTATCAGAAATTTTCCTAACTAAGCTGACAAAAGCTATACAACACGAGCACTTGCAATGGAGCTGTTTAACGAAACATTTCTTAATGAGCAGATGAAACTGCCTTAGATATTAACTTCTTAGAAACGTGATGCAAAACGTGAGGCACCCTATTACAGCAGAGTTTGCTAGGTTGGATCTTGCCCCTTTTCTAGCAGAAACAAATGCTGTAACTCTCACACTACACAAAGCAGTGCTTGCAGCTTACAAACAAGCCTCGCGTGCTTACACACGTCCATTCCTTCCTCCTCAGAGTATAACCTTATCTGCTTGAAGAGAGGTAAAGAACATTGACTTCCACTTGTATCAGGAATGATCCAGTGAGGAATCGTCTTACCTTGAACTGCTTGCCACACGTGGAGCACAGGAAGTCTTTGCGGTCCGAGTGCCGCAACATGTGGAGCCGCAGCTTGTCAGGGCGGCAGAAAGCCTTGTCACACTCTGTGCACTGATAAATCTTTTCTGAGTGGAAACTGCGGACGTGTTTCTTGACCTAGGATTTCAGATCACAGAATAGTGGAATTTATTCAAAAAAAAGATTTGTGTGGTAAAACAGTTCTCAAATTCTTAGCAAAAAAAAAAAAAGGGTTCTCATCTGCTCTGGCTTAAAAATAAGTTCATTTTAACAGCTGGTACCTTGGTGACACTTTCTATAACAGCAGTTGCTTTTGCCTACTTGAGACTAGCCTTCACTTCTTAAAGCATTCTGTGTTTTGAGGCTTTTCTTTCAAAAAGAAATATTAACGAGGGTTCACATTTGAAATCCAAGCACCAGAATAAAGAAAAAGAGAAAAACAGTGCTTGCATGAGATCTGGCAGGTGGGGCTTTAAATCAGTACATCTCACCTGGATGAAGTCTGGAAAGCGCTTTTTGCAGGTAGGACAGGTGAAATAGCCATCAATGACATGAATGACCACGTGATCTTTGAGTAAATCCAAACGGTCAAAGGACTCAGGACAGAAAATGCAGGAATAGGTTTTCTGGTCCATGTGGAACTTCATGTGGCTCTCGAGAGAACCACTGTTGATAAAGCCCTTGTTGCAAATGTCACAAGTCAAAGGGCAGTTCCCTTCCCGGCCATGGAACCTCAAATGCTGATCCAGTTTGTCCTTTTCCCGGAATGCCTTCCCACACTGGAGGCATTTGAATGGGCGGAAGGATTTCCTTATGAACAGGTGCTGAAGAGCTGCATTCTGAAAGAAACACAGAGTCCATTAGCTTTCGCTGGATACTGACTTCACAGACCAAGATCAAAAACAATAGATCAGTGAACCTGAACTTCAAAAGACACTTTGGTTACACAGACAGTCTGCATTTTACAGAAGTGGATGCTGTGATGGATAGAAGGGAAATACCTGCAGTTACACACTGAGTTAAGAAAGCAGAATGGAGAAGTTCCCCCTCCTATCCACATTTCCATCTTTAGCATGGCATTCTTCTGTAAAATAGAGCTAAATCCCCCTCCAAAGAAGAGATCTGTAGTTCCAACTTATGTTTCAGGATTGGGCCATGCAGTCAGCCCCATACTGTCTATTCCTCCCTCTGTCATGCAGGAGCAGGGCTGATGTAACTCCACTACCCACTAAAAAATTCACTTCTGCAGAGATGAGAGGTGTGCAGCAGTGGTTTAACATTGACTGGAAACTTTTGGTGGAATGCATTTTTAAGAGATGCTGGCTTAACCTTTTTTTTACTATTACTAAAAAGAACAGAGTTTCAAAATACTACAGCAGGGGCAGAATGGCACTTTTACAGGCATCAGGTAAGAACTTGAGAGCAATTTGTTCATCTTTGTCATTTAGCATGCATCACGTCTGAGAGACTGAAAGTGAAGAAGATAAAAACCCACAGTGGTGCTAAACCAAGAGAAATCCCCTCAAATTCTGTTGTCTGCTCAAAGGGAAGCAGACAATACACAGTCAAACCTGAAACTGCTTTTCTTGGTATTGAAAGAAACTAGGAACACTGAACTGTGCAAGAGTTGCACAAATTTTTATTTCAAGATTTAATATCCTAAGTTGCTCTTCTTTTCCTCCACTTTTCCATATCATTTTGCCTTAACCATAAGGATGTGCTAATAAGTCAAATGGTTACAGATGTGCTACAAGTTCCTGACTCCACTGCTAACATACATTGCTATTTGCACCTCAAACAATCTGACTACTAAGACAGCAGGCCAGGCTACTGCTACGTCTTTTAAGTCAACACAGTCCTGGAAGCAGTAAGGTATGGAAGTCACTAAAAAACATCAGTTGTTATTCAGATAACTCTTCATTCTGGATGTCAGTTGCTTAAAGGACAACAGTAACTATGTAACTGTAACTGATGATGTTGGGATCAATCAAGAGACTCTAAGCAGAAGCTGGACAAAACAACAGAATGCAATGTTGTTATGTACTATCTGACTAGATACAGAAAAAACTCAAAAAAAAAAATAAACCTACCTGCAGCTCCAGCTGAGCAGGCAGCATTAAGAGAGAAAAAATACTTATGTTATGCAATGGACTTGAAAACAGAAGTCTTGACTTCTGTATTCACACTTTGTGAGCCACAATGAGGGCCAGCACTTCAGACTGCTTTTTCTCCCTCTTTACTTGAGCAAAACTCCGCTGAGTTTCTTGCCTTAGGAAACACTAAATAGATCTTCAATGTTTAACTTGTAAACAACTGTCCAAGAGGATTTAAAGGACTGAAATAAAAAGCACAGATAACCTTGAAAGTGTTTTGTGACTTCTCATATTTTCTTAGATTCAGAGTTAATAATGACGTAATGTAACTGTGGAGCCACAGAGAGAATGAAATACCTCTGACAAAAGGGAATAAGTAGGGCAGAACGACAACCAGGCAAGGATCAATACGGTGGAAAGTTGAGGAATAGTGACATTTTGAGCCTCATCTTATTGTCTGTACTCATTACAGAACTTATCACCTTCCTTCTTTCAGCATAAAGGAAATGACTGTGCTTTCCAAATCATATCCCTGTTGTGCCACTTGCTTCCTCTGAGTAAACGGTTACCCCACACGAAGGGCATGTTAGGATCAGATCTGTACATGAAAAAAGGCCATTTGGAAATGCACGTGTTTGAGATCAGTCCATAATCACTCCAGACAACGGAACTAAATTGAAATTAATTAAAAAAGTGACTTTTAGCTGAAGACAACAGCATGCTTCTATTTTATTAAAAGAGTAGGGTGGCTATATCCCGTCAATAGTAACTAACAGACTTCCATATTTCAAGTCAAACTCCACAGGCTTCAAAGCAGAGGGTGAAAAATGAACTAATTCCATCAGGACTTGAACCTAGGGCACCAGAGTTCAATAATACAGCTGGAATGAAAATACACACAGAACATCCCTGCCTTAAACCTTAAAAAAAGCTGACGTGAGTCACAAGAGATTTGAAAATGGCTTTGAAAGTGCAATCTTATGTGAGTAAGAAGGAAGAACTAAAGCTGTACAGGTTTCCAGATGGTAATCAGCTGTCAAGGCTTCCTACCTATTCTTTGGAAAGGAATTACATACTATACCTCTTAAAACCAACAAGCTTGTTCATAACAATGAGGACATGCTACTATGCATGCTGAGAACAGCTGAATGGAAGGAGCATCACAGGGTACTAAAGCTCAGTGCAACTCTTCAGTCGTTAAAAGGTAATGGTAGCTAATTTTCTGTTGTCTCAAACTCCCATTGCTCAGCCTGATGCAATGTGGAAAAGTGCTACAACCATCAGTGTGCCCTTCTGCCAATGCCCCCCTCTTGAGTCCTCACCAGAACTCTAAACACAAGCTGTTTAATTTTTCAATTTGGAGATACAAACACATCACTGAGGATTAAAACACCACTGCACACCCCTGTGATCTGCTTGTGATAAAATTTCAGAGGACAAACACCAAGCAGCAAGACATAGGTAACTTCAGAATTTCTTTCCCTTTCCTCCTGCATTTAATGTTTAATAAAATCTTAAATTAACATCACAGCCAAACTCCTCCTTTAAGATATGCTGCTGTATTTATGGGGTAACACCATTGTATGCATACGTATCACTGTAAACTGAGACACAAATCTGGCTCAACATCTTCCTATACTGACAGTTACTCAACTCTTTCCTAATCTTTTCATCCCCTAAAAACTGTCTTACCAAATTGCAGCTGTTCCTTTCTGTAATCAAAATTTTACACATGGAAGAGAAAGATTTTTGGCTAAATAAACCAATCTCACAGTTACATGGCTTGAAGGATTATTTGCTTGAATCATTTCCCTCCCACACACAATAGAGAAAAAAACAGCTCACTCAGCTGACAGAGCTCAGGTTCAAAGCATTTGCTGTTGGTACACAAAGCTCTTAGCACAGGTTTTAATCTCAAAGACAGACAGGTTTTCTACCCCAAGAAAGGATTTTATCACTATCATCAACTAAGCAGATCTGAACTGAGGTTGAGATTTCTCTTTAGCAACTATTTACAAAGCAAGAATTCTGAGAGGCACAGATGGTACTGTGAATGAGCCAGTCTGTGCCACAGCACCACGATCCAGCCGGCTGTTGGAAGCACTCCTGCTTGCCAGCTTGGATGGACTGTGCTTCTGTGAAAGAATTACTGTGCTGGAATTGAATCAGCTCCAATTGGTGACCAGTTCTCAATAGCATCTCATGAGATACTCGTTCTTTACATGAGATTTGTCTTCCTCTCAGAAGGAAAATTTGCTAGGAATGAGATGCTTTAATCAGGACTTGGAAATGGATACTGCAGTGGGAGAAAGGGACCAGCTGCTCCTTTCAGGCAGGTCCAGCATTCTCTGGGTTACAGCAAATGGAGAGGGTGAGAGAAAACATGAGCCACCATTGTCTTTGCTTACCCTGATGCGCTTTGCTCGCCTCATGTCATCTGCTGTCATGGTGCTCTGCGTAGGCACCGCGCTCTCATCGTGCTGGGGCTGGATCTGTAGTGGGTGATTTTCTGACTGCTGTTCCAGTGTCGACTGTGTCTCTGATGGCACTGGAGTCTGTTCCTGCTGCTCCAGCCCATTCAGTGTTGCTTGTCTGGCCTCATCAAACTGCCCCTTGCTGGAAAAATGCAGCAAGTCCTGAAATCGCAAACCATACAGCCAGTGATTATTCCCCCCACCCACTGAAAAAGGCTTTGATATTACTCAGCAGACAACCAGTTTTCTACATATTTCATTGTAAGCCATAAACAAAAGTGTCTACACTGCTCTATTCCAATATGTTTCAGTGATAATTTCAGCAGTTCTCCACCTACAGCAGCAACACTCAGAGCACTGAGGAAGAAGCACTGCAAGAACGTAACACTTTTTGCCATAACATCATCCACATCTGACTGGACACAGAGGATCAAAATAACCCAGCTGTTAACAGCCAAGCAAACTTCTGCACTACTGACCTCATCACTGCTTAAACCAAAGATGATGTAGGCTGACCTGTAAGAAATTTTAAGACCAAAGTGAGTAGCACAGATCGGACCTCCAAGAAAAGCAGAGAATTTCTGTCCCATTGAAGCTGTTGTCACTTTGAAACATTATCAGGCATTGATATGCAGTGTCTTCCCTTTCTAGCAAACTAGCTGGAATGATGAACTGGAGAGTGATAAATGAGATCATTACACTGTGCACAGTGTGTTTTACTATCCAGTTTCCAAGTTCTGCATACTCTCATCTACCCAGCTGCATATATTACTTATATTTATCACACAAAGATGTTCTCTTCCTTTTTAGCATTACTATAAAAGAAAAGGGAGGGTGTTGGGAGCAGGAAGAACATGCTACAATCTACATTTGTTTTCCTCAAAAAGTCCAATAACTCCTTCTGGATAGAAACCTTCAGTATGAGGAGAAAAAACCCATAGATCCTTACACGTAATCACTTACATTGCAACTAAGGAACTTAAAAGCTCAAACTATGAAGCAAAGCATTGAGAATGCAACAGCTCGGGGCCACTACTGTTCAAACACAAATGGAGGCATGGGAGAAAAAAAAAACAGCGAGATGCCAGGAGTGCAGCTGTTATAAACCATTAGTGCTTACCAGACAGGGAGATTTAGTAGAACAATATACTATCCAAAGGTCCCATCCTAGCCTAGGTGGCAAATTTTCACACATGCTGACACAGAACCATGGTCATGACACCTCCAGCCTCAAGTTCTCAGGCAGATGAACTTGTGCCTAGTCATTAGGAAGGTGGGCAGACATCCAAAGACCTGGGACACTTCCCTGCTCGACTTTACAGACACACGTGAGCTACATCTGGGCCATACTCCCAAGCTGGGAGAATGTGAGCCACCACCAGTCCAGAGCCACTCAGACAAATTAGCACAGGATTGTTCCAGCAAGAATTCTCTGGAGAGAAGAGCTGGGACATGGAGCTGGCTGCTGGCTCAATTTGCAAAAAGGGTGGCATCATCTCAAACTCAAACATATAGCACAAAATTTAGAGCAATTCTGATGCTCAGAAAGCAAGCAGCAGACATTCAGAGGCCATCTATACATTCCTCCCTTTGAATCAGCAATGAACTGTAACATTCTAACTAAGCAACAAAACTGAGCCACTGATTTCTTGTGACACCTTCATAAAAGGGTCTTATGTTAACCCTATGCCCAGTCAGCATTAGACAGAATTAACATTTAATTTATATCAATGTATCACGTTAGGTTCCTGTAGAATATAACTAACAGCCACAAGCAAAATAATTTTGCAGTAAGTAGGCCGACAGAAGGACCCTTTGTTAATATTAAAACATCATAAAGAATCATAGCTCTACCTGATTTAATTCCACCAGCAACAGTTATAAGAGCAGGCTCTGACCTCATGTTCCAGAAAGGACAAATGTGAACCTAAATTCCCATTACAGTTTTACTGTCTAAATTACTTTTGTGATGCTGCTAAACAGCTGCAATAACCTATCTCACTGCTACAAGATTCGGGATTAAAGCTGCTGTAGAAATGCAAGCAATTTTACAGACTTTATAGAACAGAAGTGATGTGCTCCCCCAGCAAAGACTCACACCTAGAAACATCACAATTTACATGGGTATAAAGCAGGAGCAAGCCTTCAGTTTACACTGATGCCCTAAATTCTTCTAGTTAAACATTTACAGCCTATATGGTATCTTATTTTCCTCTCCCCATCCCCCAAATATACCTGTGTTCCTTCTTCACACTTTTCTCCATTTTCAATGGTTACTTCCATACGCATGAATTTGGGAGGGCGTCCCGGGCGCCTGCCTGGCCCAAACCTCCTTTTTCCTCGCCCACGACCTCTTCCTCTGGCTCTGCAGAGCACAATGCTTCAAGTTAGAGACAAGAGATGGATTTGGCATCTTCACTCATTTTATGCATTCTTACTTAGTACCAACAGCCTGCAACGAAGAGCAAAATCTGAAGAAGCTCTGACACCAAAAACCATAAGCAGGTACCAACCAGTGCTCTTATGCTGCACTCTGAGAAATCACAGTACAGAACACATTATAATTTACTTTGATAATTTTGGGACTGAGAGGACTAAAGCTTCCAGCAAGCGCTCAGCCATGGCAACTCTCCTTCTGGCATCCCAGGGTGCAGAGTGCTGGGAAGTAACTGTACCAGCAATCTAATTTAAAGCCTGAAGCCATAACATCTCTCCCAAAAAAGGCACTCAGACACAGTAAACTGAAGGGAATAACTCTGTGTCAAAAAAAAAAAATGCAGCCACTTAACAAATTTCAGGAACAACAAATCACCAGTGTCTACTGTTCCCTGAAGGATGGTTCTAGATTGAGTTTATAATAGTCAGGATAACTATCTTTCCACCTCAGAGGAGAGGCAAAGCACTAGATGCCTCATTCTTTGAGCTCTCTATCTGGATACATCAGGGAAGGAACAGTATTTCACTTCTGTCATACAAAAATATTGCAGTTTAAGTCATTGGTTAAAAAAGCCCAACAAAACAAAAAGAAAAACTTCACTAGCTTTCTTGAAGTATTTATTTTCCTTCAGCTCTTTCTGTGGCAAAACCTCTTAAGCCAGTCAGCTTTCTGGTGCTGTATTCTTACCTTCCTGGTGCTAAGCCATTCTCTCCTGAATACCCAAGTTGGTTACTAATACCTGCAGGTATTAATTCTGCAAACCTTGAAGAGCAGTAACATTATACAGGGACAAAAATAAAGCTTCCAGTACCTGCTGAAGAAGTCCAGCTTCTCATCATGGGAGTTGAGGTGCTGCTGAAGTTGCTCTGAGCTCATGAAACGACGGTTGCACTCATAACACGGCCAGTTCTTCTCCTGCTCTCTGAGAACTATGTTCCATTGGAAAGGTCAGTAACAGCATTTCAGACTATCAATTAAATGCCTCAGTTTTTTTTCCTCAAGCACTTCTATCCTGGGCTGTATTTCTCCACTCAAGTGGAGACAGACTGCAGAACACCCAGCACAGCCCCACTTAACATTGCTTTTAGCAATCCCCTCTGCCCCGTGAGGCAACTACAGCTCCTTGCAGAAAGACAAGAAGGTCACTGAGGAAAATTCACATGACTTAGATGCACAAAAGAGCACCTACAGCATTGTGTGACTCAGTGCAACCAACAGAAGTTCCCTCAATCTGAAGCAGGAGCATATAGGTTCATTACTCAAGTATAGAAACACTTCTTTCCAGCAGCCTATAGGCCCCACACTCAAAATCAAGTCTGTCACCCAACCACCATCACACTGCACAAACAGAAGGCAGAAGAGCCCACGTTACCCTTGCGTTCCTCCTCAGATATGTCATGGATCTTCTGGTTCACAAACTCCGCGTAAGAGGCAGCGTACCACACCTTGAGTGGGAAATACAAGGTAACATAATGCTTCCTTACATGGAAAAGAACCAAAAGGAATTCATTTGAAAAATGGTTTTTTATGCAACACGCTTATTTTGCCTCAACCCGAATTCCTTTTTCTCCTTTCATCCTTGCTAATAAAGCCTCACTGAGGCTATTGTTGAGCTCAATATACCTCCACCGATGAATAAAAGAGCTTAGCTTAGAAAGCATGTCCATCTAATGTTAAGGTACAGCCTCCTCATACAAATGTTAATCTCACACCTGGCTACCAGTATTCTAAAGGAAAGAAAATTCATCTCCGCAGATCTGACTGCACAGCACTGTTATTTGGGAGGGCAGTTGTACCAAAAGGAAGAGTTCTTAACTCAAGGGATTCCCATGTCTTTACACAGACAACAGGCAGCACAGCATGCAGAGACACATGTAAAAGTGTTTTTCAGAAGCAGAAGTCTCAAGCAATACGGTCCTGCTTCCCAGAACACAGGCTGCAGCATGCTGGGCCCACTTTTCTCATTAAAGTGATTTAGGAAACCTTCAGCAGAGAGCCACATGAATGACAAAGTTTACCAGAACCTAGAATCAGATGCTTAAATTTAGCTCAAAATTTTTCATCTTGCTGTTTACTTACAAAGGCTCAATTTTAAAAGAGGTTCTTAAATCCATTCATGCCTTATTTCCAGCATGAAAAACCTGGGCAAGTTTTGACTGAGTCACAGGTGTTTTTGTAGCAGTGCTATGAGCAGCATTTCTAAGACCTTGGAAGACTTATTCAGCACGTACATGTTACTTTGTAGGCACCTAAGTAGCTGGACAAAGGAGGAAACATGGAGCCCCCAGACAACTCACCTGTCATGCAGTGCTCAAGTTCCCATAAATTCAACTTCAAGTTCCCACAAATTCCTATCGATGTTTACTTGGCAAAGAAAACATTATACAGGCTAGGTAATTTGCTGTCAATTACCCCAACACTTTTACCCCTAAAGACACTACTGACACATGAAGCAAGAAAAACGGTGCTTTCACAAGGAGGTCTGTACAGATTTAATTGAAGTCTGATTTCAAATTGTTTTTAAAACAGTTGAAAAACGCAGCTTGGATACATTTAGAATAGATTAATAAGGTTCCCAGTGATTTGGTTTAAACAAATTAAAAACTGATGCCAGGGGAGGAAAAAGTTTCTGCTCTTAAAAATCAGCAACAAGCATATAAGCAGGCTTTTAGTTTAGCAAAGTGTGTTTAAAACTTCCTTCTGTTAATCTGTAAGAACTTATGTGCAACAAAAAACTCTTAAGAACAAACCATTTCCTGATACTAGTTTTTCCTCTGTTTCCTCCCCAGTTCCCTAGATGATGTTAAAAAGGAAGGCTGTCTCAGCCAGCCATGCTGCTTTGAGCTCAACGTAATCAATATATTTTTAGAGGGAACAAAAAGTCACTCACAGAGCAGTCACAATATCCTTTATCACTTTCCACATGCAAAGTTTCAAAAGTTCCAGGAAAGCCAGGTAAAGTGAAAGACCACATTCACTTAAGGCACCAGAAAACATGTCAAAGGCACATAGAACTAACTGGAAAGGGCATCCAGAACTACAAAGAATAAGACTACTGTAATAAAAATTAGATTGCATCAGCAAAATATATGCAGTGTAAAGCATGACAGTGACAAGCAAATCATTTACATGCTCTAATTTTAAGCCTCCTCATTTTATGTCTCAGCCAAACTCATTTAAAACCCGTAAGTGGCTGACTGCTGAGTTCAGTGACATTTGATTCAGGCCACCATGTGCTTTATCATAGGAAAAAGCCCTAAAAAACGCTCCAATTATTTACAGCAATCATCTCTGGCTCTTGGAGATGTGCTTATTAGGTAGCAATTGAAATTGATTCCATCAGCAGAAACAGTAAGCCCACAAATATGAGCAGTGCCATACCTTGAGTTCCTGTTTGGGCTCCACGTTTTTAATGGTTGTGTAATAAATGTGGTGGCCATACTGATAAGCAACCAGGTTCTGCTCCAAATGGTTTTGAGCTGGACGCACAAACATCATCCAGTTACAAAGAGCCTCACTAGAAAGTTCAAACCACAGGTCCTCTTGCAAATCCCTGTCTTTTCTGTCACCTTTATCAAGAGACACCTGTAATAAAAATCAGTTACACATGACTTTCTTGCAGCAGATTTGAAAGAATTCCAATTTCTAAAGAAAGTCTACCGTGACTACATAACATTTACATCAGAAAAGCAATGAGCACGTAGCTGATCTCTTTGCTAATGGGGATCCAAGAAAAAGCAGTAACAGGAAAATACTTAGACACAGGTAGTGATTAGAGCCAAGCACAGAATGTGATGTACAGCTGTGACTGAGGCACAAGAAGCTGAACTTTCAGTAGCAGATACAGCAGATGTTGTCAGATGTTTTTAACTAGCACACCCACTTCTTCTATTTCAGGCTTCACAGTGCCTCAAGCTCTTAAAAAAAGAAAACAACCCACTCCTTCAAATGAACTTCTTTTTGGTTACTGAATCTGCCTGTAGTCCTAGTCAGACACTGACCACTGCAATTAAGACTGTGGACCATATCTCAAGCAAATAGAGTAACTCCTACAATCAAGCCAGTAAACATGAAATAGAAATTAGTGAAATCCAGTTTATCTCATGCCAATAGACTTGGCAAGGAGAATGGGAGAGAAAAATCTCTCGTCTCCCCTACATCCTGGGGGAGGAAGAAGGGAAAGGAAGAAAAAACAAAATAAGTTATAGCATGATGCAAAATAATGACTGCAAAACATCCTCAGACTATTTTTATGTCTACACGTTGCTTCTGCCTACGTGACAGTGATTCACAGCATTGCATACTTGAAGTCCTATACACCATAACACCATAATGCTAGAATATTCATCATGATTATTGCCTCCTTGGATAAAAGGATAGATTGGAAGCCAAAGCAAGCTGGGTATTTCTGAGTTATATTCAGAAATGAAGCAACACAGGAACACGTCCAGTAAAGCAACTGATCAAGTCACAGCCACTGATTCAAATTCACAAAAATTAAAGTTTTAACAAATTCCTCTCCTCTCTCTCACACACACACACACACACACACACACACACACACACACACACACTCCCTTACCTTCAGATGGATATAGCAGTCTTTGAGCTCAGTTTGTCTAACCAGGGGTCCTTCTACAGGTCCAAATTGTGTGCGCTTGGGGATACGCCTTTTGGAGAAGACACCTCCCAAAAACCTGTCTATGTAGAGCACCAAGGGGAGGCTGGCTCTTGCCTTGGTCAGCACAGGCCGGTTTGGGATTGGATGCAAAGGTCCATGTTTTGGACACACGGAGGGATGTGCATTATTACACTCTTCACACCCTATAACACAAAGTCAGAGAGGACATGACTGTCAGACAGACACTCACGCACCAGCTCAGAAGAGACAGCCTTATCACTCTGAGCATCTTCATCTCAGATACAGGAACATTCATTCCAATAGTCTGTCTATCTTTTAAAAGATTAGGGAGAGTGGCCTCCCACAAAATAAAGAACTATCTCACTTTGCCTTCTAAGTGACAAAGCCCAACATGAGCATACATTTCTGGATATAAAGGGCTTTAGTTATTACTGCTAAAAATACAAGAGATCTTTGACTCCATCTAGTAGAGGCCTGGTGAAGGCACAAGAAAGGGCAGCTGCAAAACTACATGCTACTTCACATGCTTACACAGATCATTGGGATCAAATGGTCGAGGTGGATCTGGATCCCATTCATCCATGTCAGTGTCTTCCCCATCTTCATCGTCTTCTTCATCCTCGTCATCTTCCTCTTTTGTTTCCATCCTTTCCATCTGATTCTGCAGCGGTGCCAGAGGGTCAGAACCATCCACTGCCTCCATAGGAGGTAACACCTGGTTATGCACCGGTAACGATGCCTGAAGACAGAATTCACAAAAGCAGTCAAAGCTGGTTCACAAAGAAAAACACTCTTACAAAAACAAGCAATGAAGGCTCCTCCTAGCCTACCCTTTCTGCTTCCTCTGGTAAAGGGAAGGAGGAGGAAGGAAAGTGATGCTACACGATACATGAATGCTGAGTGATGCTTGAAATCCCTGCTGCTGACAGTCACTCAGGACAGCTCTGGCAAGGCCTGACTTCAAGGAAGAAAAAACTGAAATCAGAAGTTCCAGATGTTCATGAAAACTTTCAGCAATGGAGTCCAAGCCCTCTGGAAGTTATACAGAGCCTAAAGCTGTACTTCAACTTGTTTTGTACAAACTGTCAAATCCTGCACTTTGGTACTTTTTTTCTCCTATCATACAATCAGATGAAAACAATCTCCAGAACACACGTAAAAACAGTCAGTGAGGGAGGAGATAACACCAAGACTATTTTAATGAAGATTTTCCCTTGACTTTCCCTACATTTTAACCAACATGCAGTGCACTGAATATTCATCTGCTACACAGGTTTCTCAGGTAGGGAACAAGAAACACTGAACACAGTAAAGCTGTCAAGAGATTGGCAAGGACACCCAGAGGATGTTGGTCCTATGTGACAGAGTTACATCTTCTGTTAACTTTGTTTCTCAAAGCAAAGATTATTTTAAGGTGCTTGCTCAAGACAAAACAATCCACAGATGAGGTTTCTCTGTGTATTAGATAATGTGTTGTGTTATTTTCTTGAGAGAGAGATCACATATTCCATGGTGAGATGAAGACAGTACAAATCTGTGCTAGGGTTTTTCTGCATCTCCTCCCATATCACTCAGACACAGTTCATCACCTGAGACAACGGAGCAATGAAATCAGTGTACTTTCACATTCAAAAGAAAAGGGTGCCTGGCAACTTACTCTATCTGCTTGTTGACCCTGCTCCAGAGCCATTTGCTGGGGGGATTCAGCAACGCTGCCGAGCACAGACAGGTTGGTGGGATTCATGCTCTGAGCAGCAGCAGGCAAGAGCACAGTTACCTAAAATTATAGGCACTCATTTTAGCACTGCATCATTTCCATTTTTCACTTCTACACGGGCAGAGCCCTGCATGCAAAGCTCCCTGGAGTCCTACACTAGGTCAAAATCTGCAGCATTTCAATGACATTTTTAGTATAGATGACAGATTTGCATAAAGCCTAAAAAATCCAGAGACAACAGGAAAGACACAAAACCCAAATTGAAAAGCTTTTCAGCCCATGTCCCACTCCTTTAAGCAGAAGTGCTACCCAGCCTGGGCTTCAAAGTGGCAAAAGCCAAGCACGATGAGCTCTTTATTAGCTCTTGGCAAACCAGTGAACTATGGTCTTTGTCTCTTCCATTTCCAAATTTACTTTCTTCCTTCTCCTTTAAAAAAAAAAGTGAAGAATCATCTCCTGATTTCATCTGTATTCCTTCTTCTTAAATAAACAAGACACATTATCACACAAAGAGGTGTACTGACCTTGTTGGAGGTTCAAGCACTCAAAGGTGAGAGAACTCCAGCAACAATTTTATTACATTATTTGGCCACACCATCCATTATTTGTTCAATTTTATACCATATCTTCGTGTAGCAACAGGAAAATTAACACATTATCACATACTGTTCCCATTCATTCTGTGATAAAGCAGAACCGAACTCTCAAGAATCACCTCTCCTGTCTTTGGTGCTCTGCTTATCTATGCAGCCACTCGTGCCAGCACACTGCATGACTTTCCATCCTTCTCTACAGTTGACATTATGTGGCTACAAGTTCGTGTCTCTGACTGTTAAACAGCTTTGATGCTAAAATTAAAACCTCTGCCCCACTACAGAGTGCACAATAAATATCAGATAGAACTGAGAACAGTGAAGTATGCCAGCAGTAAAGGAACACACAAGAAAATTCATAACATAAGCAGATAGCTTTAAAACTTCAAATCTAGCGTAAAGAGGTATTAAAAGTAATTTATGAAACTGCTTTTTTTCCTGTAGGTTTATAAGCAAACAGAAACCTCCAGGATCACAGCTGAACTGCCCACTGCTGCCATGGTGGATGCCAGGGGGCAATAGAAAAGCATCCTTGTTCAGCAGCACATCCCCAGCTCTGCCAGCACAGAGAGGCTCATACAACCTCACTTCTATTTGTACCACATATTAGCACTTCTCACTGCTAATCACACCTCAAACATATATCTAATTTTCATTTCCATGTAAATTCCAGACAATGCAAAGAATACAGGCATTATTTTAAAAGGAAATTTTAAAGTTTTTTTTTTTTTTTTTTTTTTTAAAGTAAAACTTCTCAAAGACAAAGATGCCTTTGTTCAGGGATGTCCTACATGAAATGCTGATGTAAAAACACCTGCAAAGGTAGTAACTGTCATAATGAGATTGTTCTGCTGGGACTGCTGCCAGTCTCAGAAAGGAGGGCAGTCTGAAGACACAGACAAGAACTTCTGACACCCCTGGTACTCAACATATTAGAGCAGCAGCTCACAGCCTGTTGTCAGGGTCACCTGCACTGCAGGTAAGTATTCCATCCCTCCAATTTTATCACATATTCAGCAAGCTTTCCCAGTAAATAAGCTTTGAGATGATCAAATAGCATTTTTTGGCTTTCTGCTGGAGCAAAACTGATACGGCAAAAATAACCAAAAATGACACCTTCAAAAGAAAAGTAAAAAAAAACAGCTAACACCTCTGTGCCATTCAGAGTTTCCTGTTTGTGTCTCAGTTTAGGTCTCCTTTAAACAAGAAGCTTTATTTTCAATGCATATTCAACCCTCCACTCTGCCCTAAGACTGCCAATACACATTCTAATGACAGCATTAGCAATATGGTGATAATTCAGATCTAACACACCAGTTCACACATGCCATTCCAGGGGCATTTCTATTCCCAGATCACTTCCTACAGGCAAGCACGTCAGCCCAGGGAAATCCCAGAAAGATAAATAAGCCAACAACTGAGTTCCATCAGGTTCCATACTTATTTTCCAGGGAAGTTTCTGGTAGATTGAGAGCTTGGCTCAAAACCAATCTCTACCCCTTGAAAGCTTTCAGGGGCTTCTAGGTATTTTGATCAGTCTGTATGGGGACAACTTCTAACTCAGTCACACCAGAATGACATTAAAATAAAGTCAGATGTATCAGCCTGCTGACTGACTTAAAGCAATACTGTTGAAAGATTTTTCATGATATCTAGGACAGTAAATTCATATCATTGTTGAACATGTATTAAAAAATAAATTCATGCTTTTTTATTGACACTGATGCACAAAAGGGCCAAGATAACAGTCTCTCACCAATACCTGCTTTTTGTTCACCATCACTGGGAAGATGGTAAATGACTGAAGGTTGCCATCTCACAAATTCAGAGTAAGCTCTTTATGCTCTATCACTAATGCTCCTTATAATCTCAAGCCCAAAGAAAATGTCTCTTACCTGCTGCGTGGTGGCATCCTGCTGGACATAAGCCACTTGGGACGGATCTGTAAACAGAGTCTAGACAAAGTGAAAAAGGCTTATCAAACTGGCCTTAGGTTGATCATCCCCAACGCACACAAGTATCACTCAGCCACCAAAATGCAATCCCCATAAGAATAACTGCTTTGCTGGCTTTTAACATCCCTGTTAACACAGCAGGTTCATTTTTCTTCCTCCAAGTTCAAAAGAGAGCTCTTCAAAAGAAAGCATGTGGATATCAGCACATCCTACATATGAATTTGGTAGGGTGAGGATGTCTGCTTTTATTTAATGGAAGACATGACAACTCCAATATTCATATGCTAGTCCTCAAGAACAGCTCTGCTGGGAGAGCTGCTACATCAGAAGAGCAAAACTCAGAGGAACACTAAGCATTGACAGCAGCCTGCCTGCTTGCTTGGCCAACATTTGAAACACCCGAGCATACTGGAGCAGTCTGGCTCCAGCAAACTGAAGCATGATATGGTAAGAATTCCCTTGGTGCTTTTTGCATGATGATATTTTATTACTACAGTGCGTTTTTTAATTTAGACAAAGCGATAATATTCAGAGAGTTGCAGAATCACTTGGTCATTAACTTCCTGGGAGATATCCTCTTGGTATCTTATCATCTCAGAACACCCCACCACATAGGAACTGCTTTTTATATGGCTGAAAACTGCACAAGAGACAAGATCATGCCACAGAAGTCTATGCCAGTGCTGCTGGCAGTGTCACATACAGGCACTTAGCAGCAATATTGGTCTATTCTGTCCAAGAACATAAAGCACTCTGATGCAGCATATCTGTTTGTGTTTTGTTTGTTGGATTTTTAAAGTCTATCCATGCAGAGGTACAGATGCATGCTATATTAACTCCATATAAACACACTCTATCAGAGGGGGAAAAAAAGCCTTGATATTTCCTATAATTATGAAGAAAAATAACTGAGGCCTATGCAATCAACAACTTCTGTGAAGAGAGATTACAAAATTAGATTGAATTCACCAAGATCTTCTGCAAAAAGGCAAGGCTGTTATTGTTACAATTAATAATTAAAAGTGCTCTGTGCAAACAAGGACTCTTCTAGAAGACACAGATCTCTCAGCTTTTTACCAAATACAGGCAGAGGCAGAATTTCTGGAGAGACTATTAAGCATTTTCAAAAACACTTTTGATTTAATTACCACCCTGTCCACCTTTAGTGAAATAACAAGCGTTTCATAATTCATAACCTCAACATCCTTTGATTACCACATTTGCACATCAGACCGAAACGAACAGCATGAAGTCCCTGTTCAGCAATGGGCAGATAAAAGCACTAGGAGTAACTGCCTGCTATTTTCCAGTCACACCACTCGCTGGCAGCTGGCTTTAATCTCAAATAAGCCTGTTTTATTTCCTAGATGCCATAAGGGAGGGGTGGGCTCAGAACCACACGTGCCTGCGTAGCTTCCACGGGATGGATGTAAACCAGCGTGTGCTCCGACGTGTCCACGGAGGTGTACGAGGTGCCATCTGCTGTGTACACCACCTGCTGGGAGGGACGCTCCTGCTCCTCGCTGTACACAATCTGTGCCACTGTCCCTGCTTCTGGGACAAAGTGCACCTGGAAGAAAAACAGATCCTGAACTGAAACGGCTGCGGGTATCGGTTGTGGAGGCATCCACCACCTTATGCCCCAAATATCTAACCAGGTGTTAGGAAAACAATAGAAATCTCAGTGTATAATATATATTTATAAACTCATCTAAATTATGCTAGCAGTGTAGAAATCTGGATGTAATAACTATCATTGGTTCCAGGTTTTACCCTGCATTTTAACTCAAGACTGGTATACTGGTATAGGGCACGCATTCAAACAACTTTTGGAACATCCCTTGAAAGTTTTTAAGAGAAAACATTTGGATTTGAACTTCTGTATTGGATTTGTTGGCACAGAGTAATGAGGTGGAAGCAGCAGCAGTGACAGCAGAACAGCAAAGTCCTAGGCTGCAGCAAGTGAGGACTTGCTCAAATGCAACAGCCTCACGTATGCAGGGATCTCCAGCAAGATCCCCTCACCTCCACTGCCAACCCTTAAATGAGGGCTGGGAAGGGGTGGATCCTGGCTGCAGCCCTTCCATCACTTACATTGCATGCACCTGAGCTGCCCTGTGCTGGCCCTGCCATCCCACCAGGTGCTCCATCACTGCTTCAGGCTGTGCCTCAGCATTTCCACTACATGCACTGCTTCTCTTTATTTTCTATCTTGCTTTCTGGATTTATGATAATTACTTCAGCTAGTTCCACAGTTGCAAGAAATTTTTCTGTTTGATAAACTGGCTAGCAGAATCTATTAACTTTGATTATTGCTTCAAGAAATAGGATTGCAGCTATCACAAGACAGCAACAGTATGTTTGTGATTGCTTCTTTGGAGCATGAACACAGCATCAGCAGACAATTCAACTGTTTAAACAGGGAAAATAACTGAAAACATGAAGCAATGACTCCAATGGCTACTACAACAGTTACCTCCAGGGCAGTTTAAATGCAAATAAATTTATTTTGACTTAGCATTACCTAAAACAAGCCAGAATTAATAAGTCCAGTGTTAATAAGAACATACTTATCTGCTGACACCTTTTATGGGTTGAAAACCATTTTCAGTGCACAGGAAAAAACAGGAGAGTTAGCAGGAAACCTAGCTTTGGTACCCACATCCATCACTCGGTGTTCTCACATAAAATAAGGCCACATCTGCAAATTTTATTTACTTCATTTCACCCTTTAGTTTGTTTCAGAAGACACCTGGCACTCCCCAGGGGATGCTAAGCACTGATTTCATACAATAAATCCTTATGCAAACACTACAGTAAAAATGCATGCAGTGTTCCACGTTTGGAGAGTGCTCTGCAAATACTGATCAAACCTTTTAACTGCCGTGTGCAAACAGCAGCACTGTTATCCCACTGCAGAGAACACAGGTTACTGAAAGCTGCTTTTCTTTGCAAATTTCAAAGCTGGAAGTTACCAAAAAAGCCAAGATTCCTTGGCTTGTGGTTCAAATGACACGCAGCATTCTCTTCATAACGTATTCCAAGAAATAAATCAGTCTTCTAAAAATTCTCAGCTGCATTGTCTCAGAGATGGAGGGACTAGCTGCATACAGCAGAATCTGACTACATTAGTCAGTGACAATTAACATTTCTCTCTTCCCCACTCCCCAGATGTCTGACTGGAAAAAACTGTATTACTTTCCTAAAAGGTCCACCCACAGTTCCAGCTGATTCAATTGATGCCAAGAGAATGGGCTGCCACAGACCACATATTTTCTTAATATTCATTAATCTGAATATCCTTTCACTTTCCCACAACTGTATATATTTATTTTTGGACACTGAACGCACACTGCTACTGGTTGGTTTCATACATTTCAAATGCCTGTGTGCTCAGTGCTGTGGTTTGCACAGCTCACTTTCTGGAATCACTACAAGTATGTTTCTATTTCCTCTCCAATACAAGCTGAGTTTCCAGACAGTTTCAAAAAAATAAAAAACAGCTGAATGGGAACATTTGCTTGCAAAGCCACTACACTGAGCCTAATCCAGCAGAAGCAGAAACCGAGGCACAAGTCACCTGAGCAGCATTCTGGTCCTGCTCAGCAGAGTCAGGCCACACCTGAGGACTTTCTTCTTTCGAGTCCATCTCCTCCCTGCCGTGGTGCTCCACGATGGGAAATAACTACTGGAGGAATGTCTGGCTGAATAGATTCATCTCTTCACTGTGCTTCTACTTCCAGAAGACAAGGGGATCTTCAGTAACATGGCTAGAAGGAAAGGAGATGGAGATATGAAAACACACATCTAACAGCCTGTTTTTGTTGTGATGGAAGGGAGCTAGAGCTATCAGCTACTGCACTACAGGAACATACTGCAGAATAAAGCAGGCTTCACTTAATGAACACAGGCATTCTCATCTTCCATTCTCAAGCATGTTGCCTAATTATTTTCTCCTTCATAGGAGCTGGAAAGAACTCAGCCATTGCACTGAAGGGTACTGAACTCCTCCTGCACCTCCCTCCTCAGCCACAAGCATGCAGCAGAACATTCTGCACGTGGTTCTGCTGGCTTACACAAGGTCAGAAATCAATGAACTATGCCAAAAATCAACATTAAACTTCTAGCAGGAAAGGATACACTCAGAGATGCATTGCTGGCCTCACACTTACAGACAGCTTTCTCCTTGCACGGAAGGGCAGGCCCAGTTGGCATTCAGGTAATGTGGCAAAGGCAACTTTGAGAAAAAGAATAATGAAACGTAAACTCTAATTGATGCAAGTCCAAAGATCCTGACAAATTGCTCTCAAGCTATGTTTTATTCACCTCTTGCAATTTTACTGAGGCCTCTCAATCTGCCACTGGGAATCTCAGAAGGGTAATTTATGGTTCTGGTGATTGGTTCAGTCAGTGCTTCAGCACTTTCCCAATTCTTCGTCTCTAATGTCACGCTAAATCCACAGGCCCTGGAATTAGCATAAGGCTGAGCCCATTTCATTTCTCAGTTACTCCAATTAACTTTGCTTTATACTCAGCGCCTCCCTGGACTGATCCAATGCCAGCACCCTGTCTGTGCACCACGAAGAAAGCAGAAGGCTCCTTGCTGATGCTTTCATTCATTTGCATTTTAAATGCAAATTATTTTAGTCATATTTTATTCCCATAAATGCCAGCAGTTGGCTCATCAACGTCAAGCTAAAAAAAAGATAAGGAAAAAAGCAGTCATTTTCTGCCTTCTGCTGATTTCACCACAAATGAATAAGCTCTGCAGACCTGAGCACTGACTGAACCATCGGCCTCAGCCAGAACATGGAAATCAACAGCACAGAAACGTCACTGAACTGAATACTGGGGGGAAAAATAAATTAAAAAGGAAATCACATCACTTCCACGTACACAAAGTTTGGGAAAGTTATTTCTGGGCATTGCCAGAGCCCAGCATTTGCTGTCTCATGCTGAGCAACATGCCATAACATGCGACAGGAGGCTCTCACTTACTGGGCTCACACTGCATTAGGGCCTGGGATAAATGAACAGAAATGCTATCTCTGTTCTCATGGTTCACTGCAAGGCATCCACAAAAGGCACTGAAGAGAAAAGGAAAGAAACAGGTGTACCTGCATGCTATGCTTTAGCTAGGGGATCTCATTAATATGGAAAAAAAAGAGCTGCAGCAGTGGACAGAGAACACCCAGCCGTGCTTTCAGAGTGCTGAAATGTGGGTTGTTTACAAATAAATATAATTTCTCTATTACAGCTCACGTAAGCTTTGATACAGTTGGAAATACCCATCCTTACACAGTACCTTTTATCCTGCTATCTCAAGGCTTCTCGCTGCGTTATTAAGGAGAAAATCCCAGGATTAATCCTATCTAATCCTCCCACTTTCACTGAACTCCATGCCTCGTCTCATTGGGTTCAGACCTTTTGGTGATTGCAGAACCACTGAGGAACGGGGCTGTGTTTATGGCAGTAACAGCCTGAACAATTTCACATGAAACTGAATGCCTTCCTGTCAACTTTGCTCAGCTCTGTTCATCCCAAACAGCTCCTGTTAACTAATGGCAGTCAGGAACAAGAGCCAGTTCAGGTCACTGGACGAACAATAGCCAGTAGTTTAACCAATTAACCAATACCTAATTGCTCAGAACAATAAGTGGCAAAGGTTTCACGGTTTGTTGTTTTGATTTTTAAAATAACAATAATAGAATTACATCGTTAGGAAGAACGCAATTAAATTAATCAGAGATCAAATGACGAGAAAGGCACAGGCATGGCCTGCTCCACGTGGTGCAACAAGTGGGAGCTCTGGCTGAGTTTCCCCACCACAGATACTGGAGGTCTGAGGGCAGCTGCTGACTCACTCCAGCAGCTCATTTAGGCACAAATAACTTACAGCTTGAGTGGGAAGGAGACTCACAGTTCCACATGGGCTTTAAATAGACAAAACTAGACATGAAGATTCATATCTACCAAAAAAAAAAAAAAGGTAAAAAGATGGAAAAGAAAGCAGAATACACTGATTTCAAATTTTATCTTAGTTCTGAACATTAACACATCTGAAATGTTAGGGAAAAAAGCAAGGATGAGCCAACACAGGGGCTCAATGGTGTGGTTTCTATAAATGGTGCCATTACCTATGGCTGTTTCCCAGAGAAATGAAATACATACAGACAGTTGTGTAGCAATAACAGCCAGAGAACACGAGCTGCAGGATTTGTTGAGCTTCTGTACTACAAAACAAGGCCTGGGATCCACCCCCATGGGATGCACTCCTACACCACTGCTCCATCCCTGACTTCTTATCATTTCTGCTATCACCACCAAACTCACAATGACACCAACAGGCAACGAGCACCCGAGGAACCTTCCCTACACTGAGCACAGAAAGACATGACCAACTTCGTTCCCACGTCCTTCTACATAGGACGCTCCCTAATTAATCCTGTATGACCTTATTTTCTTCCTCATATCCCCCATCAAAGATCATTACAGCTGTGACACTGACAGCCAGAGCGCCTCAAGATTTCAATGATTTCCCTGTGGGTTTCAATCAGCAGAGATGTCACACAGCACAAGGAAGCAACAGACGTCCAGCTCAGCACATACAGCCTCAGCGTTTTATTCCTATCAAATTAGCTGCAGAGGAATCACAGTGAGTACGTTAGGCCACGTGGTGCCACATTAATCCTGCTAACAAGAGCACTTTAGGAGAAGCATGTAAAGAAAAGCACTTTTCTCTCTCAGGGTCTGGCTGCAGGCTTTGTTAGTTTCTTAGCAGAAGCATGAGACCTCAGGCTTAAATCAAAGTGCCAATATTACCAAACAAGTGGCACACAAGGGGACATTCTCTGCTTGCCCTCTGCACCGTTTGCCCCCAGACTATGCTTTGCAGTTGCTGAGGTTTCTCCCCATACAACACGAGGCATTTCCAATAGAGCAAAACACCACAACAAGCACCCTAATGGGGCACACACACTTTGGGAGCTGTCATCCAACACATGACCTGCAGTCCTGTCACCACCCCAACACTTACATACAGCCAGATAAGCAGCACGCACACAAGCAGGAAGCAATGACAACATGCTAAACCATTTACAATAGCTCAAGACAGAATTTTCCTCCCTAGAATAGCAGGTGTGCTTCACCCAATCCATACTGGGTAAGGACATGAGCTGGAGCAGCAGTGGGTATAAATACAGCCCAGTATCACTGCAGTGCATCAGAACAGCAAGGCAGCAACAGGACGCAGTGCAAACATGGTATGATAGCACAGCTCTGTGACTTCAAATCATTACAGGACCTCAGCACAGCTGCTAAGCATCTGATCTGGAGTCGGAGTGCTGTCAGCAGACACACAGGGCAGAACAGAACCATCCTCTACACCTATGCACCAAAACACCCAGCTGCCTGCTCACTGGGTGAGTGCAGGTAAACCAACAACCTGTCCAGGAGGAAACTGGTTCATTTCAGTATGCTGTTTGTATTTACCTTCCTTTTCTTAACACCCACTGCAGATCTGCAGCTGCCACAGATCTATGGCCCTCATCTTCAGTTCTTCCTCATCCAATCCAGAACGCTCATTAATGGTGATGTCTCTCCTCTGCATGGAAAGCTTCTTATGTCATTGTTTGACCAGCTCTTCATCTTCATGGAAATCTTACTTGAGAACTCCTCCTGACCTCCACAATACATCTCTAACCCCTCTCTCCCATTCCAGCAGCATCTGAAGCTGTATCATTAAATCAGCAGCTTTCCCCATTTGCCACATTCAGCTCTGGATGAACTCTGCTTGGGGCAAAGCACCTCATTCACCACCCAACACAACGTCCTCATTATCCTTGCTGTCCTCAGCAGCAGTCATCTGCCTCCCAAAGGACAAGTGCTGATGAAAGCACTACCTACCTGCAGGCAGGCCTCAGCATCCACACCACATCACCCTGCAGGTGCCCCTACGACTCCATCAGCTGGGAATGGGATTGAGCAGTGCTTTGAGAAAAGGGCTCAGAAGACAGCAAAGCAGCTGTTCTTTTTATTTGGCGTGCAAGGATTTCTGACAGAAATTGAAAAGTGAAACCACTCAGCGCTGCAAACAGAAGTTCAGCTCTGAAAGTCATAAAAAGGATCAACAGCACCTATATTTTCTTCACACAGCTGCTATTAGGGAATGAGACTTTCTTTCAACCATTGGGCTGTACAGGAGATACAGACAAAAACTCCTGAGACTTCATCTGCAGAGAGCTCTCCAAGTTCAATTAAGAACATTCTGCTGAGAAAGCACCAGAGCCAGCAGCTGCCAAACATCCATCCTTGTCCCTTCTTTGAGATGACAGCGATGGAGGAACATTAAAGCTGGGCAAAGGGAGAAATCTGCTTTCCTTCTCAGGGAGTCATAAAGCCACTGCAGTATCTCACATGAGAAGCCACTTTACAATAATGGCACATAAAAAAAGCTAATGTGATTTACTCCCTAGTGTAAAAGAGGCTTGCATATAGACTGGAGTTCCCTGCAGCAGTAACAGCAGTGGCTATTAGCTTAATTCTTTAAGTACTGAGCTCACTGACCACTCATTTTCACTGTTAACCATATGCAAGGACAGCAAGATTGCTACAAAAGGGGGTTTTATGACCACGGGTCTTCCTCCAGCTTTTAATATGAAAGTGATTTATGATACTCAAAAGGAACATCACATGTGTCTGCAAAAGCTATATCCCACACTTAAGTTAATTACCCCAGCTTGCCTAGAAGGCAGAGTTGGTGCATTTCCTGAGGTTCCTTGGCAAGGAGATGCTCTCACTGCAGCAGGATGGCTGGGAAGCACGCTGGGGTTCCAACCTCATTGACTACTGAGTCACGACTGCTGTCTCTTCCTCTGCATCCTCATTCATCAAAAACACATTGTTTCAAGGAACTCAGCTCTTGTGCATTGTCTGCATGTTAATAATCAGGTAATATATAGCCACAATATTTATGCTTTACTGGCGAGTTAGAAATAGAAATCATACACGGGGCTGGGACAGCAGAGATTATTTATTTCCACAAAAGGAAAAATGGCTTCAATTTATTTAGTCATATAATAAATAGAACAACTCAGCCAAACACCAACTCACTCTTTCTTCAAATTGCACATAATGAATTGATCTAGCTGCATCCTTACACCACATCCATCACAGCACAACGAGCTGGAAGAGGCCTCTTAGATCTCCAAGGCAAGTCCTCTGCTGCTGCATCAATGAAGGGGCTTGTGTGATGCATTAAAGGGCACTGCCCAAGCTCCAAAAACAATATCACCACAGCATGGTGCAGCTATTCTCTGGAAGTACCACAGAAGTAGCTACAAGTCTGTTTATCCCACAAGACACAGGAGATAATCTAGAACTGCAAGTGAATTCCAAGGCAGATTTACATCCTACAGGAGAGCTGCACAGACCTGGCTGCAGACCTACTTGGAGATGCAGCTCCCTCTCTAGATGACATTTCTGTGCAGCCTTAGTTCTTGTATAACCAAGTGTTTCTCACTGTATCTGTCCTTCCTGTTCTCAGTAGGCAAAGAGACAAGTTTAAAATTTATGTTTATACACATGTTCTTCTTAGTCACCCCTATAATTGATTTCTTCCTCCTCCTCAGCTTTCTGAACACATTATTACATTTTTCATGTCATTTTCTTCTTTCAAATGTTTTGTGTTCTCAGGTCCCTGTGACATCCTCAGCATCTGCCACTGCCATAAACCACAACTCTCAGGCTTCAGCTGCTCGAGGTAGTGACCTCATTTACTTAATTGATTTGGTTTATAAACGACAGAGAAGAATGATAAAGGAACAAAGCAGGGAAGGCACTTCCTTCAGAGTAACAAGGAAGAGAATGAAAGCATCTGTATCAAACTGTGTCTACACTGTTGCAAATGCATCTTTTTAACTGAAAACAAAACCACACCACCACCACACTCAGTTCCATTCCTCCTATTCCTCCTCCACTTAAAGCTGCAATTTGCTCCCCTTCCTGCAAACTGTGCTGCTTCTTTCCTCCCTCTCCCACCCCTCTGCATTAAATCACTGCTTTCAAATGACAAAACCTCTTTTCTGCCCATTAAAAAACCCAAGACTTGCCTGCTGCAGAACAAACCAGGCCTCCTGAACACTACAGCAGGTGCCCACCTAACACATCAGGCCGCTTGTATTTCTATGCTACGCTGACACAAAAAATAGAAGTGGCAAACAGCTCAGCTCTTGTTTAAGCCAAAACAAAATCCACAACATTAAGTCAGCCTCCATAATGAGCTACACTTATAAATTAATTAAAATTCTGTTTACACAGCTGACAGCAGCTGCAGGTGGTCAGAAACACACTGAAAGTAGCTGCTTACAACAAAGCAAATTAACATCACAGAGCTCACCTAAGGATTTCCTAGGCAGGTTAATAGCAAAGAAAGGTGTCAGATGAAAGCAGGCTCCTCACACCAACTTCTTGTCAAGAGCAAGCGGTCAGTTATTCCAACAGATAACAACAGTCACATCAATATCTCATCCTGCACCAAGGTAATAAAGCTGTCTTCATTTCAAACAGCTCGTACACAAGAGAAGAATGCATGCAGCAAAGTGCCAAAAAGCATCACATTTCAGGAGACAAATTATTCGTTTTAGGACTAACTTGAGAAATACACCTCCTTACTGCTCCTGAAAATGAAGGTGTTAGGAGGCTTGAGACCACCAATTACTTTATCACTACAAAAGAGTCCAATAACCCTCTTGTAAAATCAGTTGATTCGTAAGCATTTCATCTTCTGGTTTAGCCAAGAGGAAGAAAATTCAATTGCTGAAAAAAGTAATAGAAGAAGGAGTTCAATATAGTCTCTATTGCCATTAAAACTCGTAAACAGAAATACTGATATGCATTTCACAGGGATAGCCAGCACTGAGCTCACTTGTCCTTTGAAAGCCTGTAAGAACCACGAATACACCACTAATGTGATGGAAGAACTGTGAGCAGATAACCGAACAGCAAACACTGCCCGCTCATCTCAGTCCTCCTGCTGTGAAGACCAGGCTCAAAAATGAAAGACCTGCGAAGGAGGTTTTTAAGCTTTGGAAAGGCTCCTTCCAGGGATCCACAACAAGCAGCCTGTAAGAGCAGCCTCCACACAACATGAAGTTTCTCATGCAGGATAATGAACCTTTTGTGGGGTCAGCTGTCTCTTTAGGGCCTATAAGACAAAGACCCAAGGCCTTGTTTCTTCCATTTTAACTCAACAGTTTACCTCTATTTCAATACCAGAGCAACACAGGAGCAGATCCAGCAACTCAACACTACAAACCTCGATAGCAAGAGGTCCCGTAAAGAAATAAATCAGTCACACATAACAGCCATCCCACGGCCCACAAGAAGGAGCTCATTTAGCTGAGACAACCACCAACACCGGTGCCAAAACCAATCTGAGCACAACACAGGCAGCTACCAGAGCCCACACACAGAAGCTACGCGTGGCCCTTGTTCTGTCCTGCAGGCCTGCAGAGCACCCAGCACGGCAGGAGCCACAAACAGGGGGCCGGTCCTGCTCTGCCCTTGGCCGGGCCCACCCTGGTACCTCCAACACGGCAGTGCGGGTTGCCAAGCCCTTCCCACCAACCCCACAGCCTCCCCACGGCGAGCCGCTCCGCGCAGGGGCAGCTGAAGCCCGCAGGTGCCCCCACCCGTCCCTTATATACTCTCCTCGCCCCACCGCAGCCAATCCGAGGAATGGGGCGCAATGCCCCCTCCTCTCTCTAAGCCAATGGCAAACGGGGGCGCGAGGCACGCGGCCAATCAGGCGGGGGCAGGTGCGCCCCTTCCCGCCGCCGCTCTCCACAGCGTGAGTGACCCCCGCTGCCCCCCCCCCCCATAACCCGCCTCTGCCGGGGCGCCCGGCGCTCACGCAGCCCCAACCACTGAGGGAAGCACTGGGGGGGGACGGAGGGGCAGGGGCTGGCGGCGAAAGGCCGCTCCGAGCGGGCAGAGGAGAGGAGACGGGAAGGCCCGGCTGCCTGAGGGAGGGGAGCCGGGCTGAGCGCGGGCCGAGGAAAGCGGGCGGCCCGCCGTAACGGGGGGCTGAGCGCCCACAACGCTGGGGGGGAACAAGATGGCTGCAGCACACACACACACACACGCATACACACCCCCCGCCCGCAGCGAGGTGCCGGGGTCCGGACTGTACCATCCGGGGAGGGGGGCAGGGGTGGGGGCAGCCCCTTTCCCTCCGGCCGGGGCGGGTGGGGGATCCCGGCTGGGGCGGGGAGCGGACCGTACCTCTCCCGCGGGGTGTGGGGGGGGGAGGGGAACGATCGCGCCTTTCTTCCCCCCCCCCCCCCCCCACTCCCGGGAGCGAACGGTTTATCCCGGCCGCAGCGCTCAGCAGCCGCCAGCTCCGGGCGCCATCTTGGGTGCGACTAAAACAACGCGGCCGAAACCCCCGGCGCGGCCCCACGGCGGCCCCGCACCGCGCTGCCCTCCCGGACCGTCCCATCGCGTTACCTGAGGGGGTCCCGTGCGGTTGCCGCGTCCCGGCCGCCGCCGCCGGCCCCGCTGCGGCCCCGAACCCCCCCACCTGTCCTCACCTCACAATGGTAGCTGCAGAGCGGGAGGGGGGGCGGCCGCCCGGACCTCATTAGCATAATCTGCCTGGCAACAGTCAGCGGCGGCGCGCGCTGATTGGCTGAAACGCCCCCGCCCGCGAAGATGAGGCATAAAAGTCGTCAAGAAAAGACTCGGGAGGCGGCCAGGTGTGGGGGCCGGGGAGCAAACGGGGGGGGGAAGAGGGGGCCGACCCACGGGGAGGGGGGGAACCACTGCCCAGGCCTTCAACGCTCCCCCACCCTCCGGATGCCGGCCACCAATCAACGCGCCGCTCTCATCCCCGCACCGCTCCGCACAGGTCCCTCCCGCCAATCCGAGCTCTCTTCTTATCGCGGCGCTCCGCCCCCTCCTGGGGGAGGCGAGCAGCGCCCCCTGCTGGGAGGGCGGGGGAGGGCGGAGCGCCCTCTGGCGGTGGGGAGGAGCCGCGCTGATTGACCGCTCCGCGGGTCCCTGCTGGGGAATTCGGCCAACGGGTCACAGCGGTGGGGTTTATTGCCTTCCTCTTGTTGCAGCTCTTCTTCAAGAGGCGTTTGTGTTATGGCAGCGTGGAAAAATACAGCTTTGCTCAGTCCATGTTTGCCATTAGCATGCACTCAGCAAGCTATGTGAGCCAGTGGCTTAGCCGAGATTTCCTAAATACGGCAATCTGTGTGCAGCATCCTTTAGTTTATTCCAAATTGCTCCACACACAGTTTTTGCACAAGCACACACACAAACCTGGGCTGTTGGGGCCCAGTGAGCCCATACCAGAGGAGGGCAGGTTCTGCTGCTTCTCCTCTAATGCAGCCCCTTATATTGAGGCACAGACACGTACTGAACCCACCCCCTATTGTACCAACATGTCCCTCCCACGAGCAACCAAGTTAAAAAAGAAGTCAGAGATACAAATTCTCTAACTCGCACTCAGCGACTTGAATTGTTAGACAAGAAACATGTTTGGAACTGAAATGAGCTGAATTTCTTACCCAATTTGCTTATATTTTTTCTCTGCTCAACTCCTCTGGGCAGTTCCCTCAACGTGAAATACTGTATTTATGGAGTCAGTTTCTCCCTTTATCCTATAAAAAAGTTTCAATTTCATTATACCATGTTGAAATGCTGGGATAACAAATAGCACAAGGAAATACATGAGACCAAATAAAGTTGCTTTATTTCCCATATTTCTCAACAGCTATCTGTACTCATTTTAGAAAAAAAAAAAAAAAAAAAGCATTTTCAAGTTGCCCTATTTTATTTGGGATTTCTATGAGTCTCCCTAACATTTCAGCACTGACTTGCATACAAGCATGCTATTGTGTTATGTTTCCATGCAACCCTATAGTTGTGCTGTTGAGCACAGAAAAGTGTAGGAGGACTTCAGGGCTGTCCTTTCCTGGTGGGTCACGTTCTGAAAGTTCTTCATGGGTATTTTCTTCCCCTAGCTCAGAAAGGCCGATTCAGGGCAGGCATTCAGTGGACGTAACAAGCTGCCAGATGCAGAGAAGGCGTGCTGCTCTGATTCATCATCTGCCATATCTGGAATCTGATGTAATGCCCATTGTATTTCCCACATTTAATGCATTCTTTCTGATGCTCCAGCACAGGCTTTGTTTTTCTAATGGCCTCACGCATGTCAGAGTGAGAAAAACCTTCATATTAAGTTAATTTCTAGTCTTCATAGGTAGTCCAAATTTCCCTATTTGCCTGCATTGTCTGGAACAGTGCTGTAACTCTCCACTGAATCCTTTCTCTCATCTCACAGGACATCAGGTCTGCATCTCCATCTCTGTACCACCTTATTTGTACACTGCTCAGCTGTGCAAGCTGTCCTCCTTCCTTCCCTGCTTTGTCATCCCCACAGCCACTGCAAGGGGACACAGCACTGTGTGCACTCAGCTCCTCCCAACAAGGGCTGTGCTCTCCTCCCTCCAGCTGGAAGAGGATAACAGCCTCATCTCATGTACTCACCAATCTCTCTCTGACCCAAGTTACTCTCCCAAGCATCCCCATCCATTCTCTTTGCCCAGTAAAGGCACCATCACAAGTTTTTGCCATAGAAGGCAAACCTCCTGCTTTCTGGGCCACTTCTCCCTAAAGATGCTCAGCAACCCTCATCTCCTTCCAGACTTCCTTCAAAGCTTTTCTGAAGCTTTCCTTCAGTCCACACCTCTTGGTTGCTGGTTTTGTTGGGGTTATTTGATTTTTTCATGACGTTGTCCCATTCTGAGAGGGATGTAAATTAAAATGAGACAAAGAAAAATGCTTGAGTGCTGTAAACTCATTTGAGTTATGTAAGCAGGCCATGCCTGATGGCCCCATTGACCTCTCCTGTCTACATCTGTGCATGATAAGTAGGCACTCGCATCCAGATTTGCAAATTAAACTGTGTGTGGAATTGGGCTGTGCATTGTGGTATCCACTGAACTTCCCTCGTGCAAGGCTGATTTAAAATACCAATCTAGAAGATGGAGAAAATGTTTGTTAAAACCTTCTAAATTATAATGCAGCTGAAATGTGATTACTTTGCATTCTGCTTGGAGAATACGAAACAGGGTGAAGGTAACGATATGAGTTTACTGAATCAGAGCAAGTCATAGTAAATGTAATTAAGATTGCCTCATGCAAGACACACAAATAGAGCATACAAGTGTAACAAAGTGCTCCTGTTGTCATTCCCTCCTGAAAAAAAGTTTCTCTTAAATACGCCAAATTATCCTTTGCATTCTGCACAGAAAAGTTTCACCAAACAAGCTGGGCTGTTCTAACAGCATCTACCTAATCATCTCCAAATTGCTTTGACTTAAGAGGTAAATTCAATTTGTACCTTTAAAGAAAGCATTTCATCACATGCATTCGCTTCGGCTACCTTCATCTGATCTGCACCCACAGTAATGTCATTCATTCCCCAACATTTAATAAACATAGGCAGAAAAGTGAATTACAAAACAATTAACGTGCTCCAGAATAGACTTCCCTGTGTACATAACAGAAACGTGCACTAACTCCTAGGAAAAGGAAGCTTTTCAGTTCACCATGAAAACCTGTATAACAAAGCCATGCTGTGATACAGGAATTGGGATGGAGCGTTCTGGCTGCCAGCACAGCAGTAAGGAAGAACACAGCTGTTCCTATGGCAGTGCCTGCCTGGCCTCACTGTAAGGCTGCTGCCTCTGACGGGGACTTCAGATCTGAGTTCAGCAGATCCCTGGCCCACAGGCACAGCAGCAGTGCTGTAGCAGCAGTGCATGCAGACCACGGCACACACAGAACACCAATGCAGCAGAGTTTTAATTACGGGAGCATTTCCCAGAAATCTGCACCGGGCAGATTGAGTTAAACTTCAAGTCCAGGTCAGCCCCTTTCACCTGGGACTGCTGTTATGGAGTCCCTATGTCCTCTTCCCTGAGCAGCCCTATGATGGGGACAGAACACACCCAGCCCTTCTGGCTGATGCTTTGCTCAGGTTCCTGTGTCACCCCTGCCCATGTCTGGTTCTGCTGGTGCACTCTCATTGGCAGCAGATAGTTCTGTGCCAACTGCTAAGTAACCAAAGGCTATTTTCTTTTCCTCCCCATTAAGCAGGCTGGGATGACTCAAAACTATTAATGATGCTTTTTGATATTTCCGAGTCTGCTAGAAGCTGAACAGAAATAAAAGTCAAATATTTTCTCTTAGAATTAATGCCATATCTAGGCATCATAACAGAGTCTTTAAAGAACCATGAAAAATTTGAAGGACTTCACTCTTCTAGAACGTTTCCCCTTGTCCAGCCCTGGGCTGATTAAAACAAGTCCTTCTGACAGCTGTTTTTCAAAGGGGACGATGAGGTGATGAAGGCAGTCTCTGCTGGGAGAGAGGAGATACCTCAGAGATAACCCTGCTACTTCCAGGTATGAAAAAGACCACGTGGACAAAGTGGGTAAGTCGTGCTTAATGTTCCTACAGAAGCCATATCTGATAATCTTGGTACTTGTACTATTTATGCAGGCTTTTTGTTAACCAGCAAAAATAAGCACTGCGCCTGGGGAAAATCCACTAATCGCTTCAATGTGGATCAAGACAGAAATATCAGTCGAGGGGTTATTCTTCCTTAAATGGTCAGAAACGAGGACATCAGGTCCTTCCCATGAGTGTGGGAGTCAGAGGGGTCCTCAACTGCTGAGCATCACAGGCTGAGCAGTGCAGCACCTGAGCAGATTTCCTCTCAGCTGAAGCTGTCACTTTTGCTCTTGCAACCTTTGCTGGGAGACTACAAAGTGGCACTGAGGACAAATAAGGATAATTCTTTCAAGGCTTATTTCTGCTTATTTGTTCTTATGCCAAGGTTTTTATGTAGCTTGGATAAGGGACTTCTTTTTTTCCCCTCTACTGTTTACTCTCCCCATGTATTTATAGACAGCAGTCATATCCTCTCCTAAAATTTGTTTTTGTTAAGCTGTGCACATTCCTTTTATCTCTCCTTGTACAGTATGTTCTCTGCTTTGTCTTACTGGCCCCTCTGGTAGAATCCTATAACTGAGAATTTGAAAATAAGTTTCCAAGTTATATGATTTCTTTCTTGAAGCAGTTTCAGAAAGTCCCACTGAGTTTTAAGGGAAAGAGCTCCTATGGTGAAATCTTTGGCTCCTATGGAAAAGGACACACCTCTAAGCTTACAGAAGCATTCAGTAACCACAACCCCATCCTAAGGAATCCAGACAAAACAATCCTAACTGAAGATGGCACCCTGAATCTAGATAGCTAGAACAGCAAACAAGGCCACAAAACACAAAGCAGCTCAGAGGCACAGCAACAGAATAACCCCCAGGCTACAGCAGAGCCTGATAAGGACAAATACAATTAAACAAAGCACAGCATCCACCACCCCCAACCAACAACCACAAACCAGAGCCATGTTCTTACAGGATGATCCATGCAGATAGGAATGGGCAGCCCAGGGCTCCACTTATATAGAGCTCCTGGGCCTGTGGGTGGGTGGGGGTTAGGGTGCTGGGATTTATAAGTGGTCCCAGGTGAGAGGCACCTGAGTGCTGCAGTCCTGTAGGTAAGGTCTTGTTTCTGCTGCAGCTTTGTTTTGTTGTTATGCTGTATGGGCAGTATGTTGGTGCAGTGTTTCTTTTAACATGGCACTTCATTTTCTATTAAAAGTTCATGGGTGTGTTTT